GGAAATCACAAGAAAAAATAGAATGAAAGGAAGTTCATCTAAAATATTGCAACCAATGAGTAGGAAGGCCTTATAGAATTTTACTGTTACCAAATAATTAGAAGATAAAAACTTTATAGTCATATAAGATCATGAATTATTTAAAATTATCAAAATAAAAATGAATAAGCTACAATGTCAAGTGAAATTCAACTAAAACAAAAAGAAACAAGTAGCTATATCACAAATAGACGAAAGTACTTTAAGCATCAAATAACAACTTGAGTTCACTGTGATAGAAATAAAAAATAAACATATATAATTTATATACATATATTTATTTATTTATATCGAATAAATAAATTATCGCAAATAAAAACATTTGTAATACATGAATCATATAATAAAAAATTAGAATTATATAAAATTATATTTACAAAAATATATATTTTATTAGTTTAGTAAGAAAGAACACTAAAAATTTGATATCTTTTGATTCAGAATTAAATAGTAGTTATTTTATAGTCTAGCTTATCATCATTAATTTCTTGATATGAACAATTTTCATAAACCTATTTCTTCATTATAAAAAACCATTACTTACTAAAGGAATTTCTAACACTTACAAATTTTCCATACATAACTTTAAACTAAAGATTCAAGGTTTGTAGGTATTATCGAAATGAAATAGAACAAAATAAAATTATTGTATGTGCACTTAATTTAAAATATTAAAAAATCACATTATCATATCTCTATACTATAATCTTTTAAGATGCACTGATCACATCCTGTACAGCTGCACTTAATCACATTTCATCTCATTATATATATCTAATTAAAAGATGTATGATTATACACATAAGCTCTTAAGACGACTAATTGAAGTATTTTAAAATTAATCATAGAGGTTAGAGATCTCTTATATCTTGTGCAAGGTATATTCAAAATCATTGTAATTAAATTTCATATTAAAAATAATTTGAAGAATATGCCAATCTTGAGTGGATTGGACATTTTAATTATCATATATACAATGATCCGAATACAATTCAATTTATGGTTTACTCTTTTCGTCAAAATAATTACAAAATCCTATTCTCATCAAAAATAAAAGGAAACGATATGGGAGAAAGCAATTCATAAGAGACAATAAACAATAAATCTAAGCACCACCGCATTAATGCCAGTATTTTGGTCAATAAGAAATATAACCTATAAAACTTACCGCAGGCAGGATGCTTGGAAGTATATAAAATGATTTGTTTCTTCCAACCTTAGGAGGATAGGAGTTGAAGAAGAAGCAATTGGCGATTTGTAGTCAAGGGCCCAAAATTCTTCTTCATGTGATGAAATAGACGTAACGAAGAGGTAAAGAGATGTAGAAGAGACTTGAAATCATGGGATCTCCTCATCGGTGACTTACCGATCAAAGAACAACATAGGAAAGAAGTTCCTCTACCCTCTCAAAAACTCTATCTTCAACAACGAAGCAGGGAAACGAATACGCCTAAAAGAGGGTGTGAATAGATTTGCAAGATGAGCTTAGGCTTCCTTTCGTAATCCCATCCGACAGTGAGAGAGAAGACAGGCGATTAAACTTTTTAGCGATTTCATCTGTCATCGGTTGAAGAAGAGGAAACGCGAAAGATAATCAAAAGTGAGGTGAGCGGTATGATGCAAAAGAAGGCGCAAAAACGGATGAGAGCAGATTAAATTAATAATTTATCAATAAATAAATAATAAGTTTCAAATAATTTGGTAGCATAAATTGAAAACGGCCAAGCACACATATAGGCTGTTTCCTTCATCTATCACAAAACTGTAAATGAGGAGTATGCTTGTGCAAAATGCATTCTGGAAGTTCAAGAGACGGAAGACGGGTGATAATTAATTAATTAATGAAATTTTCAAGGCCTTTTTCAATATATGCATTTAAAGTCTCACATGAATAGTTTAAATGCTTTGGAAGTTCAAGTGAGAACGAAGTGGTAAATTAATCTAACTTAAATGAAATCTTTAAGCTTTTCAGTATATGCATAAAAGTCTTTTCAATGAAATTAGATTTAATATGAAACTCAAGCCTCTTTTGAGAGAAAATATAAAAAATAAAAGAATATGAAGATTATAAATGAGATGGCTGTAGATTAACTTTTTGTTTATAAATGAACGATCAGATTATACTATGGGTGAAGTTCCAACCACTTTATATAGTAGTATAGATATATATGAGTATATAGATATTGTTGAATTGATTATTTAGATAAGCTGATTTGTGTAAAATTTTTTTGTTGATGATTATTCATAAAATTGCTTGTCTTATAGGTCAATCTATAGTTAGTCTAAATGTTATTGTTTGAGTAAAATCTAAGATCAAAATACATTGAGTGTAATTTAAAATAATATATATATATATATATATATATAATTATATATATATAATTATATATATATATATATATAGGATTGTAATTTTAGGTGATTAAGTCATTTAAAAGAGTAAATGTTTTAGATATCTCGGGTCTTTAGTTCAAAGTGGTGGTGAAATTGATGAGGATATTATTAGTAGAATACAAGTTGGATGATTAAAGTGGAGGAATGCATCAGGCATGTTGTGTGATAGAAAAATATACCTCAAACGCAAGGAGGGAAATCTATAAAATGGTGATGGGACCTGTAATGCTTATGATGCAAAATATTGTTCATTAAAAGATAAGCATAAAATTAAGTTTAGTATTGCAGAGATCAGGATGCTCACGTGGTTTAGTGGCTTTACTCTTAGAGATGGATCGTTAAAGAGTATATATGTGAAAAGGTTGGAGTATCTCCAATGACAATTAAGATTTGAGAGAGTCATCTTAGATGGTTTAGTCACATAGTACATCGGCTTTCCAATGACCTGGTTAGGATATTTTATGTATTAGTTTCAGCCTATGTTAAGAAAGATATAGGTATGGCGCCTAAAAAGGCTTGATTAGAAAGTATTAGAAATGATATTTTTTTATTAGATTTGAATGAAAATTTTACTCTTAATATGACACAATGGATAAAAATGATTCATGTTGCAGACTCCAATTAGTGGGATAAAGGCTTGATGTTGATGTTGTATTGTTTGTTTTTAGGTTGATTTCTTCCGGTGTTGAGTTTTCAATCATTTTATGTGTAAATTGTTTTTCATGTTAGTCAGTTCGAGCTTGCTTTGCAAAGCCTACATCTGGTTCTTTGTTAAATTATTTTTATTTCACAAAACGGAATGCTTCCTGAAGGAAATTGTTCAGCTTCCTGCATGAAATTATGGGGTTATACTAAACCAATGATGCAAGGTTTTACTTTTTCTGAAATGATGTTGACGTTAAAATTCTATTGACTTATTGAGTTTTTATTATCTTTGTTGCTCGAGAGTAAGCTTCTCATTTCTGTGTTATTATCAAGTAGCTTAATTATGGTGACCAAATTTGATACCTTGATGCTTTCACCTATGGACTATATATGCGTATCCTTTGGTATGTCACAACTTGATTGTTAGGAGTGCAAGATATTATTAGACACGGGGACTTTTGGACATGTGTGGATTGTGGCTATAATGATCTTTCATATTAGCTACATTTAGTATTGTTAGCATTTATGTATAATAATTTGTTGTGTTTCTTTCTTTTACATATTTTATTTTCATATATATTTTAAAATTTCATGTTAATTAACTTTGTACCTATCTTGAAGATATTCTAACAAAAATTTGATAGCGATGGTTTTGTATTTATTATATTTTATTTGAAATGAACATAATATAAATTTTGATTAATTAATTATATATTAGATTAATCACAAAGAAAAATTGGCAATTATAAAATCTTTATTAACTAAATTTGTGCTAGAATATTCTGATCTGAATTTTTTGCATATTGATTCCTGTTTATTTCAAATCCTTCTAAAGTTCTTCATGAAATAATTCTAAATAAAAAAAATTTCATAATTATTTGTAAAACATATCTTAATTCTTAACATGCATATCTAGCATACACCCTTTTTTATTGAATGTTCCTTGCTTTTAAAATCAGCCTTTGCCTCTTCTATTTTAGGCATAATTAAAATATTTATCAATAAGAAATTCATAATAAGTATTCTACATTTCATTAATTGAATTCATCATCCTAAAATGACTCATAATTCATTGACCCTTTTCCCTCACTATTATAGGTAATTAGCATGTGATTATTATTATAACTATAATGTATAGTGATGATTATCATCATCATAATAAATATTTTAATTTGCATTATTCACATATTTAAATTGAGACATAATCAAAATATTTTAGTTGAACTAATAATTCATTTATGTTATGTTCAATATATGAAGTAAAATTTATGTTTAAAATGTTATTTACGTGCAACTAGTATATACTGAAATTTGTTGATATTGTATTTTATTATTTATTAAATTTTAATTATTAAAATAAACAAATATAAAAATCTTCTATTTATAAATATTAAAATATTATTATTATTTTCTTTTATTTAATTTAACTTTAAATTAAGGTGACAGAAAATGAAGTGCACGGTGCACCAACGAAAGAAGCAACCGTGCATTTTGCGATCCGAGTTTATCTCACATCGCGATCCGACGCGTGCGTGGCCAGTGGCCACCTACCAATGGGGGCCCGACCCGCGACGCCCCGTAACCGATTACAAAATATCATCGGCCTCTTGGTTCATTTTCCATCCTTCGCGGCTTTCCTCTCCCGCCGCCAACGACCGTCGTGAAACGCCTGATTCTGGCCGGAAAGTGAGGACGGAGCTCTTCGCCTTATTGGTCACCTTTGGAAGAAACGGTGATTGCTATGTCTGACTGAGCCTTCTGGTTTTGGCTTTTCCGCTTTCTGGTTCTCTCTTTGCGACTCCACGTGTTGTGATTGAATTAGCGTTATCGCTTCGGATTTGGGAATCTTTTCTATAGTTTTCGAATTGAAAGCGAGAGGTAAGTGATAAGAGATAAGATAAAAGGGTTTAGGGATTAGTGATCATAGTATCGAGCTCTTCAGTTAGGTTTCAAAAGATATATAGTTCGCCTTAATTTGTTCTTTCGATTCAGATCCATTCTTCCTTTTGGTCTATTTTGATTCTGATTTTCTAACTTTTTTTTTTGTAGTTACGAAACGGAGCTGTCCTCAAATCCATAGAAGACGTTCTTATCTCCATCCAAGAATCCATGGAAGTAGAAGGGACTTTCGCCGGCTCCTTTCCTGATATCATCTTCGAATCGTCACCGGAGCACGATAATTCGTCAAAGAGAAGCGCCGGCAGCGTCACCACAAACTCTACGCAGGCGAACGCCAGCTTTGATTGCAACATCTGTCTCGACTTCGTTTCCGATCCAGTGGTCACTCTCTGCGGCCATCTCTACTGTTGGCCCTGTATCTACCGCTGGCTTCATCCTACCTCCAGCAATAACCCTCGCCGGTGCCCCGTCTGCAAATCCCCTCTTTCTGACTCCTCCCTTGTCCCTCTCTACGGCCGCGGGCATGCCGCAAAAAACCATGGTCAGAGTATCGGCATCCCGGGCCGACCAAGAGACACTCGGAGCCTCGTTGCTGCCGCCGCCATCGACCAACGGCCCTATCACACGGGAGCACTGCACTCCACGGCCGGCGTGGTACTTGGCGAGATTGCCTTCGCCATGCTGCCATGGGCGTTCACCAACCCGCCAAGCTGGAACCTTTCTCGGGCCATGAGGGAGGTGATTGGCGAGAGTCCGAGGCTGAGGCAGGAGATGAGGGCGGAGATCTGGCTGCATCAGCTATGGGTTTTTCTCCTTTGTTGTGCGCTCTTTGGTCTGCTCTTCTTCTAAAGCTTCTAAAAGGCAATAAATTATGTGAGTTTGACCCTTCTTAGCCTTTCTCTGCGTGATTGATCATGCGATAGTGTTATGTATTTGATCATGCGATAGTGTTATGTCTCTGCAGTAATGTAAATAAAGATATATTATTGATACGTCATAAAAATATATATATCTTGATCGGGCACAAATCTTGAGGCAAAATCATGTTGGAAACTTCAGAAAGTAAAATTGGGACCATCTGAACTCCGATTTCTGCAAACTTACAGTCGAGCTGAACGTCTCAGAAATATGAACCCAACGACACCAAATTCGACTCAATCCGAGCTCAAATGAGTCCAAATCAAGGACCCTAAGCGCTATTGGAAGCTTCGAACCACAATTTGGATTACCAAACGGTTTCCAAACATTACGTGCTTATATTTGAATCGAGCGGCTCTACGAGACGAATCCAACAAGTCCAAGATCGCTGAATTCCGACATCATTAAAACCTTTAAATGTCTAACAAGCGGTCCACGATCAAGAGAGCAAGAGAGAGACTGGAGACCGCTCTTGCCTCTTAGACTACCGCCGGAGTTCCGCCAGACCACCGTCTGACGTCGTTGCTCCGTCGAACCACAACTTGAGGCCCTCACCTCACCGGACCATCACTTGAGACCCTCACCTTCGCTGGATCACCACCTGAGGCCCTCACCTTCGCCGGACCATCACTTGAGGCCCTCAGCTTCGTCGGGCTATGACTTGAGGCCCTCAGCTTCGTTGGGCCACGACTTGAGGCCCTCAGCTTCGTCGGGCCACGACTTGAGGCCCTTTGCTCCACCAGACCACCACCTAAGGCCCAGACTTCTGCCAGACCACCACTTGAGGCCCAAACTTCTGCCGGACCACCACCCGAGGCCCGGACTTCTGCCGGACCACCACCTGAAGCTCGGACTTCCGCCGGATCACCACATGATGCCCGGACTTATGTTGGACCACCACCTGAGGCCCAGACTTCTTCCGTACCATCACCTGAGGCCCAAACTTCTGTCGGGCCACCAACTGATACCTAGAGTTATAGTACCGACCTACTACAACAGTCTTTCTGACCCCAATCTCCGGCCAACTAAGGTCTTTTGGACCGTTGTCTCCTGCCTACTATGGTCCTTCCGGCCTCCGTCGCCTACTATGATTCTTCCGACATACATCGCTAGACAACGATCTTTTTGACCTCAATATCTTGCATACTACAATCCTTCCGACCTACATCGCCAGACAACGATCTCTCTAACTTCAGTCTCCTGCATACTACGATCCTTCCGACCTACATCGCCGGACAATGGTCTTTCTGACCTTGGTCTCATGCCTACTAGGTCTTTCCAACCTCTATCATATCAACTGTGGTCCTGCCGACTAAACAAACATGTCTATGTTGACTATTATAACTCCCACCATGTAATGCGCTCTATATGATGTACATTTGTGACATCAAGTCAAGGCTTGTCCCTAAGAAGGGCCTTATTTTTAATCGGCTGCAAATACTAGTGGATTCATTCAAACTGCGCAAGGTCCCATAGTTTTTTCTCCTTTTCAGGGGTTTCCACGTAAAAACTCTAGTGTCTCTTATGAACGCTACACCCTCTCTCTTATCTGTTTGTGTGCTGGATTTTCGTACAATGCAAAGACGTTAAACTTTATATTTCTCTACCACCGCAAATACTCCAGGACACAACAATTATAATACTGTTTTGAATAATAGAAAGATGGAAATAGTTTGGTAGTGTTATTAATATTGATAGATTACATGTGTTCTTAATAAAAATACAGGTTATATATGTTGTTAGCGGTTAGCAGAACATAAGCCAGCAAAGTGGGATATGTTAGAATATAAAATTATTGCTAGCTATAAGCTTTCATCAAGGAATTTATTTTTGTTGGCTCACTGCAATTTTCATGAATTAAAGACAGATTTCTCAAATTCGAGTATATATATATATAAAAGCAGATTTCTCAATTTTAGTTTGAATTTTAGGAGGTTTTGGATTTGTGGAGTTTGTGCCTTAACCATAGGAGATGTAGGATTGACATTGTATGACAATTAAGATAGACACTGAGTGCGTAATAGGAGTGTTATTGAGTGTTGAAGACATTAGCCCATCAAACCTTTCATAATAATGTTGATATTTCATCTTAGGGCTTCTCCAACCGAACGTCATTCGTCCTGTTTGTAGCTCTGACGAACGTCCACTTGAATGGCAAATAGAAACACATTTTTGCTTTTTATCTTGGTTGTGAACATTCTCGTCTTCCATCTCCTTCGCAAAAAACGAGTAGAGCGGCCCTTCCTCCTTCAACTGCTCAGTTCTATCCAAATCCTGTTAGAAATAGAGTTTGGATGAGATGAATGAATGTTTGATATGACTGTTATTGTATTTTGAAGTTAAACATAATTTTTTTTTTGGGTTGGAGATGCCTTAGCACAAATTTATTAATTTTTTATTCCTATTTTCTGCATTCCTTGCTGTAAGTTCCCATGTTGAATGTTTCAGTATTTCAAAGCATTCGCGACAATACCTTCATTGTTTTGATGTGCTTCATTTGGATTTGATAAAGGAGGTTTCAAGATGATTTGAGCAACATTTGTAAACATTCTGTGCTGTTTTGAGCAGACTTTTCAGAAAAAACGAATTCGGAAAAAATTGATACGGCACATGTGGAGAAGCACAAAAATACAAAATGATGATTTGGAAAGCTGCTGCTGGCAGTAATATTGCTGACACAATGGGAAGTTTAGGAAAAGGTGTTAGGGACCCACTGCAACTTAGCTCGGTTGGGAACCTCTCATCTCAAGTTCGATTGCCTCGAGCAGCTGTCGCCCTTAAGTGGGGCCCCTAGGCACCGGCTGCAGGTACAGTAAGCGTGGGTGGCCCGGTAGGTCGGTCGGGGTTTACGGACCGCCAAGCGCGCTCGGCAAAGCCCGAGCATGGCAGTGGACGGTTCCTCGTCATAAAAAAAAAAGTGTTAGGGTTTTTCTTCATTTGTAGTGAAAAGTTATTATTTTTATTTTTTCTACAATAATTTCATGACTAATTTCATAAAATTCATTTCAAATAAGCCTAACATTCTATTTGGGACGATTGCAACATTTTATAAAATTTGTTATGAAGTTGTTGTGGGGAAAGCAAATTAATTACTCTGGTTGCAAAAAAAAAATAATTTTCACCTCAAAAAATTCTAAAAAAATAGTGGAAAAAAAAAAGTAACCAAATGAAATTATGTTTGCTACCTCAAAACAAAAATAGGCAGAAAGTTGATCGATATAGACCCTAAATTAACAAAATAGATATATTTCCTTTGAAGTAGGCTAAGGAACAATTAGAGGTTTAAGTATTATAACACTTTTGATTATTGTCTTACGAAACCAAATGAATTATCTTAGGAAAATTCAAAAAGGCTGTTTTGCGGTTTGAGAACATCTGATTAAATGTTCTAATTTTAGGAGGATATTCTCAGCTAAAAAATCTCTTCCATTGTCTGCAATCACTTATATCTTAGGCTTCATTTAAGACAACCTTTTTTTTTTATTATCTTTTAGCATAAAAATTTTTTGAAGAGAGTTGTTTTAGAAATTAGTATGAAAATTATCCCAAAGGAAGCCTTACTTGGTTTTGGATAACTCTTTTATTGCTTTAGGCTTTATTTGGAACGTTTTTTTTGCTGCTTCTTAAAATAACTTTCTAGTACAAAAATTTTATTTTATTTGCTAAAAAACTACTTTTAAAAACATTAAAAAAATGTCCCAAACAAAGCCTTAGTTTTCAAACCTCAACCACAATTTTTGTTTGATAATTTTTTTCATTGCTTTTAATAAATTTTTGTACTAATAAACTGCTTTCTACATCTACTTTTAAAAAAAATTGATTTCTCTGCAATAAGTTTATAATCACCTTTATAAAAAACTATAGACATCTCAAAAAATTTTTTTTTAATTATTTTTAACCAAAACAAAAATACAATAAAAGTAAGGGATACACCACAAGACCCTATAAGGGCCACATCAGGAGAATTACGATCAGAGAAAAACAAAAAGCAACAAGTAAAGAGCAAACTGAGAGGACTGACCAAATAAAAAACAAACGGACTCATATCGACACCTAGTTGTGAGGGAGGGGCCATCCAAGGAGGACTAAATAAATCCAAGCCGACAAGCAACCAAACACAATAAAACGAGTCACCAAGGTTGCCAACCACATCATGACCATTCAAGGCGCATGCAGAATAACTTCTTCATCATAGTCCTGTTTTAATTCCATATTGGTAAAGCAACTAAAGCAACCAAAACTGTGATAAAACCAACCACCACAATTACAAAACTTTCAAAAAGGAAAGTCATTTCTTCTTAGATTACCGTTTTCGATGCCTAACATAATTATCAGTGAGCCAATTTCCATATTGCTTTCAATAATATCCTTCCCTCCAGCAGACAACATGTCATCCTATAACCAATCACATTGTCACCGAATAGAATCTATAGCAAGATGAGCTAACAAATTAGCATTCGACATAACAAAAATAGGCACATCCACCACAGGCACCACGACTCCTACCTCCCCAAAATTAGTCAAAGAGTCATCACCACCATCAACTAAAAAGACGGAATTATCATTAGACAACTCCACACCATCAACATAAATAAGACTATCTCTAAGATTAACACAACAATTAATATCATTCAATGTGATGCGGTCAACAGCCACAGTAGGAGAAACATCACCATCAACAGCACCATAAACCACCAATTCTCCATTAACGATTGGAGAGTCACTAGAGCAAACTGCAGCAGCAGAAACAGGGGCTACAGGGGAGATGACTGGGCTAAACGGATGGTAAACTAAAACCAACCCGACAATTATCAACGCCTCGTTAATGTCATTAACAGCTTGGTTAGGAGGAACTAGCACAACAATCATATCCACCAAATCAACATGAGACCCACCAACAGAAGCAAACAGAACCACATGAATAACAGGAGAAACACCATAAGAAGAAAGCACGGAAGGATCAACAGCCCCAGCAACCTCAACCCCATTACTCATAGACAAACCCAACATATTAGAGGTAACAAAACCAATATTAACCTCACTAACAACATTTACCACATTAACAATTTCATTCTTAACAGGGTTAATAAGATTCACAGAAGAAAAATGAAGGGGGGTTAGGGACAGAGAATGACACTCTCCCCGGACGACCATTAGCTTTGCAAAGATCACAAAAAGGAGGAAAAACCTCCATTTGCACTTTCTGGATGTAACCCAATTTATCAGGATCGAGCCACACGTTATCAGGATAATTTTTAGTGATGTCCAGTTCTACCAGAACACGTGTCAGGGAGGGACGCGAGCTAACAGAGGTGGCATTATCAACTTTTAGCGGGCGGCCAAACAAAGAACCCAACGCATGAATGATACATGGAGCGAATAAATGGGGCCGTAAATTGGGGAAGGAAATCCAAATGAGTATAACCAGGGACTCCACACCGATATCAATGGAAGGATACCATTTTGTAAGTTTCATGTAGCAATTGAAAACTAGGTAAGAACGATGGCAAAAAACCCTACTATAATCCATGTCATTCGATAATTTAATCAACACATGAGAGGAATCAAGTAAGGTAACAGAAAATTCAGCAGTCAACTTAAGATTGAAAAAAAATCTTCGGATGGTATCCAATCTAGCCCGACGAGAGGGGAAAAAAACCAAGGCAAACTGGAATGGTGCCGCCAACGAAAGAATATGCTCCTCAAAGATCCACATAGTAGGTAAACCACAAAATATAATTGTTTTGATAGACGAGAAACAAACATCCGAAACATTACAAGATAAAGCGTCCAAAAAAGACCGTGATTTCTTGGATCCATCCAAAAAACCCGATCCAAGAAATGCTTCGTTGTCATGCCGGCCACCAGGGCCGAAGGGGACGAAGCAGGAAACAAAGAAAACACGAAAGGAAAAACGAGGTAATGAAAAACTCCCCTGAAACCAGAGAAGCACCAGCAGCAGGAAGATGACGAAAAACATTCGCTGGGAGAGACCAAGGCGAAGCGGGGCGGGAGGTCCAAGCTCCGGAAAAACCCTAGCTCCCAAAAAAGAGTGGGGGAGAAGAGGCGTACAAATTATTTATATATTCATCTCAAATAGACTCTTAATTATATAAAATTAGGAAAAAAATTAACATTCTTAAAAGCTATTTCTCCCAATAATAATAATAATAATAATAATAATAATAATTTTTATAGGTATCACATTCTAATAAATCAGATAATTAAAAACTACCCATCACCAAAATTTTCAGAATTTTAGAAGTGAGAATTATATAATTGTACATGATAAAAAAAATCTTCTATTTGAGCATGATCACTTCTAATAGCATGGTTGTCATAATTCCTCTGATGAGATTCTGAGCTGCATTGAAGTATCCCTTGTAGGAGAGATGCCAAGTTGGCCTAGAGTAATCCTTCAGAGATGAGATAACCAAGTTGGACTGTAGTCCTCCTCTTGGGACGAGTTACCAAACTGGACACTTCTTGAGATCTCTTCATTTATGTATTTGATTCGAGTTCATCTTGGCAGAGTCTTGGATTTGGCTTTGATCTTAAGATACAATTTAGGTTTTGTTTGGGACGATTTTCTTACTGCTTTTTAAAGCAGCTTTTTAGTACAAAATTTTAATTTTTGTACTAAAAACTGCTTTAAGAATTTTTGTACTAAAAAGCTGCTTTAAGAAGCAGAAAAAACTGTCTCAAACAAAACATTATAGGCTTGACCAAAGCAAGTTGGGGTGTATTGTTTGGTTTCACCATTCTTATGCGTTTGAAAAATTATAAGAAAATCTGAGGACATTGAGCTTCCATTATTGGCCATCTACTTCTTCTGACCGGTTCAGTCCGGTTCGATGTAGAAGCTGTTTTAGACTGGACAAGATCGGCCTTATGCTGATCCGATCCGATTTTTAAAACATTGGGTGCAAGTTTACCAACAATGAGTTCCCCGCCTATACAGTCACAATACTAAGGAAATGTACTATAAAGGTTCAAAACATTTCTAATTACCTTTCTCCTTTTATCCATATCATTCTTCTATGTATGCATCTATATGTATAAGTCATAGTCCCCATGCAGGCATTGAAGCTGATCTAGAAATCTTTCTTCCCCGTCCAGAGAGTAACGGCGAAGACGGAACCGAGAAAGATGATTTCAGCAGCGGCACACTGGCACCTCCATGGATGGATTCTAAGCTATGAATTGTAGAATGATCACTGGCCATTGGAGTTACAGTAGCGTTTGTAGCAATGATAGTAGCTGGCTGCAACTCAATTTGCACATACTGGTTTTCGGTGGATTCCTCGAACAGGTCTTGGTCATCTTCTTCAATTGAGTCAATCGTGTTTGTTTCTGTATGTATTGTTGATTCAGATATCCCTCGCCGGTGCTTTCTCCTTCTCCTTGCGGCTTTGCCCCAACCATGCATTGTCTCTCTAATCCTGTGTGGTATTAGTGCAGCCTTGTAGTTTGTTCCCATCTGAAATTTATACAGATTTCACATTAACTAACAAACTAATAATAGTTTCAGTGATCTATTATTTCAAGCCAGAAATCAAGTTCATAAAAATCACCTGAGTGACTAATGCATAGAGAGGCAATGTACTGTAACTACAAAGGAACTGTCCAGCAAACCTTCAGAAAAAAAGAAGCAAAAGAAACATATAATCATCAAGCAAACATACATAAATGAAGAGTAAAACATACTAAAACCATTTGGTGAAGTGATATTGTCATTGATCTCTTAAGAAGAGATCCTAGATTTGACCCCTTAAGAAGAAAGAGGGCAATTTCATCCATAAATTAAAATCTTGATTATTGAAAGAGCTAACACCCTCCTACCTCCAAGTATTAGGTTTCGTTTAAGACGGCTTTCTTTCTGCTTCTTAAAGCAGCTTCCTAGTAAAAAATTTATTTTTTTACTAAGAAGCTGCTTTAAAAGCAATAACAAAACCATCTCAAACGAAGCCTTAATTTTGTTAATAAGAAAGATTTCGGTGTTATGTGCGTAAATATTAAAAAATATGACTGCAATTATACTTGTGTACCCTAATATGAGACGCGCATACACCAACCAATGGTTCCTGAGAAAGCAAGAATCATACCCAAACTGCCACTGTCAATACTAAAAAATAATTAGCCTTAAGCAAATTCCATAGAAAATTTTCAGGAAAAAACTGCTAGTTCATGAATCACATACAAGAAAGCGAGGGGCCTAAGTAATTGTAAAACAAAAGAGTCAGAAGAGTACCCAGAACCAGAAAAATGAAGCCAGTTCAAATGCATTCTGCAACAATTAACATGGAGATTAACAAAATTCTATAAAACAAATAAACCTATAAATACATTCTTACTGATATTAGATAAGTTACCAACCTGGAAAAGAATGAAATGGATCAGAGATAACAAAAGTTCAGGTTTTTTGAACCAAAAAAGGGCATCTCTAGGCTTTAATCTAGAGCTGGTTAAATTTTCAGTTATGCCTGCACTCTCCAGTGCTAGAGTGGCAATTACATGCTGCAGCTTTGCACCAACTATAAGTACAAGCTGAGAAAGTTAAGTAGACTGTCAGAATCAACTATAAGTACAAGCTGAGAAAGTTAAGTAGACTGTCAGAATCTAACTCCCCATCTTCTTTCCAATTAAGAAAAATAGGAATTCTCTATGCAAATGGTCTAGCACTTACAGTGATAGGTATAATAGCTATCCAAAAGTAAAGGTTAGAACCTGCAACATTACACTTCAGTGTAAGTGTCAAAACAGAACTGAAATAACTTATCATCTCTGAATAATTGGGTAGCAAAGGAGAGGTAATAGCTTTATACAAACCATTTACATTAAACAACATGAAAGCCACTACAAATCCCCATAAAGGTACACTGCAAATAATTCAGACAAAGAAAAGATCAAAGACATTTTAAGAATTGAAGGTCTACAGATAAATTTGTATCATGGAAAAATACATAAAATGAATTTATTATATAAAAGATTTAAATATGAATTACTTAATAGAGTCATAGGAAAATAAATATAAAGTCTTAAATGCAAGAGAGGAAATTTATATCATACTTCTCATATCAAAAATCAAATATGAGAAGATAGATTTTTTTGGGGGAGAAGAATATAATTAAAAAATCTTCAAATTCCAATGCACTTCTAAAAATAATTTAAAAAGATTTTTTTGGGTTCAAGCACAGTTAAATGGCTCCTATTCTTTAGCTTCATTTTAATTATATTCATTCTTACTTTTTAGATTAAAAAAATAAAAAAGAAATGAAAAATATCTCTTTAGAAATTCTTAGATGAGAGATTTTTCCTCTCTTTATAATTTTTAAATCTGAAAATGATTAGAGAACACAGTTTGAAAAAGGACTTTCAGATAGCTTATCTACTTTTCTTTACTGCATAATACATAGATATATAGATATAAATACAGATTTTATTTACTTTCCAATTTCATCATGAGAATTACCACACCAAAAATGCTTTGATTATTAGCTATTTATGTTTTATAAAAATTTGTTTAATGAAATTTTAATTTATCTTTGCGAAACATACATTCAATATTCTATGCATCTCGAAACATAAAATGAAGTTTTTTCCTTTGGAAATGTGTTATAATAATGAGAGTTATTTTTTTAATCTTATTATCAAATACATAATTCTTTATGCTAAAAAAAATTAAGAGATGAGAATTTTGAAATCTATTATGGGAGAATGTTTAATGGGGATTTGTATATAATTCACCAATATGAACATAAATATTCTTCTTTTGAGTTGCATTGTCATGGTGAGAAGTGATAGAGGCAAATTTCAACTTACCTAACACCAACAATCATCTTGAATTCTTCCTCCATTGAGCGTATCATATAGCTATGGAAATCATATCTTGCTGTAAGATTGTGGTTCTGCCAATAGAAGTTCATGAATAAGCGATCAAAGAAGTTATTACAAAGTGAACACAGCATAGCTAAGGATAAGAATCATAAAGTAGCTGCCTGGAAGTCCTACACAAGATTGTCTCACATTTTCTTTTTTCTGCTTATAATTCAAATAAACCATGAAGAGGATTATGAAAATATGAAACCAGAAGAAAGTCATTTTTGTCCAAATTGGAGGAAAAAGTAAAGCTCATGAACCAGAAAGAACAAAATTGCAGCATGACAACATTAGAGTAAATTATACCATAATGAAACCTCTGCGCAGTGTAAGGTAATCAGCCCGCACCACAGACCGTCCAAATTGACGAAAGAAACATGTCTATAAAAATTATGATGAGAAACATTATTGTACAGTGAGTAAGCATGAATGCGTTAGTAAGGTTCGTTTGGGATGGCTTTTTTACTGCTTCTTAAAACAACTTTGTTGTACAAAAATTTAATTTTTATCCTAAAAAGTTGTTTTAAGAAGCAATAAAAAAGCCATCCCAAACAAAGCCTAAATTAAAGATCATGAGAGTTCATTTGGAGTCATGGATGCAAGGATTAGAAACACCAACCACCCATATGACAAAGCTGTTTCTGCTCCAAGGTTTTGAAGTATGAGCCGTCACAAATGATAACTGCCTCCTCATTGTTAGTGCTCTTGTGATTTCTGTGTAGGAAGAAATTTGAGAATACTGAATTAGCCGTGAGATAATGGCAACTATATTTTACAATGTTTGTTATGATTTTTTTACAATTATATTCTTGTTAGGAAAGGACAACTAAATTTTAAATGGAAATATAATATATGAGCAAATATGATGAACCACAGAATAACATCAAGAGTTCAAGGTCAATAGATTGAGGGCCATCCCATTTATATAAAAAAGAAGAGTTGAGGGTCAACTCCTAATATAGCATGTAAACTCCTCTTAATAGTGAATTTTGAATGAGAAAGCTTTAGTGGCTCTTTTAAACATATTGGGAGGGATGATCGAGTGACTAACATCAACAAAGAAAGTGGTACTTATTTCAATCCTATACAACGAGAGGGAGGAAGTCGACTTTCGTAGGTCCACAATATTCGAAAGAAAGTATGTGGAAAGGATGTTTACTTCTTTTATACCTCTTGTCCTCTACTCATAACAGGTGGTTGTTTCTTTTATTTGGTGTCTTCGAACACAACAGGTGTTGTTGTCTCTCTTAACACCCAATATGCAATAGACTTTTGTAAGCATCTTTGTTAGATTCATAATTGTGGACAACAAGTAGATGCATCTTTGGTAGTGAAATCATCTCCTATTTATATGGCATGTAATACCCCTTAATACCTCCTTAAAATTTAGTAAATATTTGATATTTGTGCGGTTGGACATAATTGAATTATATAAATCTTGTGTATGCTGATGCTTGTTTATTTGCTATGATTGCTTCCTCATCTTTGTGGTTTGCTTGATGTAATTATTCAGTCCTACCACTCTATCTCTTGAAATTTCCAAGATGATTTTGTCCACTTGCGTGCCTCTTTGCCCCTACAAAACTAAAACCAAAGATCTAAAATTAATCCTAATCTCCACATATTATCTCTATCCAACTAAGACCTAAAACCCTAAAGTATCCCCTAGCCAACTAATGATTAGCCTACCTCTTGCAACCCAATTTGTTGATTGAGACAATCTTCTCCAACATCTTTAACTAATTCTTCCCTAATTTAAAAGCTAACATAATATCTTGATCCCACCCCTCTTCTCTCTGCTCAAGCCTACAAAACCCAATTAAAATCCCTTTTATCTACTTAAACTCCCCAATCATAGCCTAATCCTTAATATGAATATGAGAGAGCCGTCCATCTTGAATTTGGATTGATGATGCATTGTTGAGGAATACTTGATTTGATTAAAAAACGGAGTACTTTTGAATATTGATAAGACAATCTCCCATTCGTGGGACGATGACATAAGAAATTAGTTGGCAATTATCTTGCAGCTTCCACCATTTAAGCTGATTCTAGATTTATTATAAAAATTAAAAGATATAATGGTGAATAAACTGAACTAATATAAAGCCAATTCTAGATTTTACTTTAATTTTAAGAAAAAAGACGAGCATCTCATCACTTGTAAGAATAAATATAGTAAAACTCAAATTGATTATTTTCTAATAAAAAAATAGATTGTTTAGATTATAAAGATTATAAAGTTATTCCAAGTGAAAGTTTATGTACGTAGCACCGCTTAGTAGTTTTGGACTTTAATATGAATGTGCATAAAATAAAAAATAAAGTAAATCACTGTTCAAGGATTAGATTGAAGCATTTAAAAAATATTAATAAAAATATTTTTGAGAGTAAGAATCTAGATTTTAAAAATTTTTATCTACATGAGGAGGCTAACTTATGTGGAAAAAAGTAGCTAATGATATTAAGAATATTGTAAAAAATATGCTTGGAGTATCAAAGGAAAAAGCTCATAATAGTAAAAAACTAAAAAAAATTGGTGGTGGAATCAAAATGTGCAAAAAAAGATAAAAATTTAGAAGATTTGTTATAAAAATTAGTTTAGATGTAAAAATTCTGATAATCGAGAAAGATATAAAGAGGCTTGCAAGGGATCTAAGAAAGCAATATGCAATGCAAAGATTTTAGCTTTTAATGAATTATATAATAGATTAGATATTGAAGAGGAAGAAAGATATATGTATAAGTTAGCCAAGCAAAGAGATAGTAGTAATGATTTAGCTCATGTAGCCGACCCCACATAATGGGATAAAGGCTTGATGTTGTTGTTGTTGTTGGTGGCGAATAAACTGAACTATACATTCACTGTAGAAATAAAACTAAATCAGCATAATACTTTCTATTGGTTCAAGCAAAAAATACCTTGCTTCTATGGTCCTCTTAGTGGGGAAGAAATCCATAATGTAAAACATGAAATGAAGTTTTCAATCAACAATGTTAACCAACATAATAAATATTAATTAAAACTGAATTTAGAGGCAACAACTGTCTAACCAATCATTGTTTTCTCTCTACTATGCTAAACATTTTTCCATGTAACATTATAATAATACCAGTAGTAGCACTAAAAGAAAAAATGGATTAGAATATTAGGATCAAAATTTAATTATGACGGATTTTAAAACCACCTTGACTTGCTTTTAAATGTATGCAATACAAGAGTGGAGTGATTATTCATGTATTATAGTCATCTCAAAATAAACATAGGAATTTTAAAACACATCTCGACCCAAAAATTCTCCTAGCACTAACCAATTAGAATCTTTATCACTCTATCATAGTTTACCCAACAATTATACTTTGTTTAATAAATCTAGGCTCAATATTATACCATCATATGAATCATAAGGATCCTTATGAGCCTCTTCTTCCCAATGCCTCCAAGTATGAATCTGTAAAGATGCAAAAAACAAAAAATTAGATAAACACTACATAAAGATTACAATAAAATCAAACATTAGTTATGTTTCCTAATGAGGATATGTTGAGCCACAATAATCAGCCAATGTATACCATATATATAGCTTTGCTGAATTTTTTTTTTTTTTGAATACATGCATAGAAAAAGTCATAATTCTATATACTAACCTTCACTATGGCCAGTAACATAGTTAAGCAACTATAGGATACATGGGTTATAGCCATGACAAATATAAACCGGTGGAGTTGCTCCAGACCTTCATATGAAACAAAAGGCTCATGGCCCTACACAAATCAAGCTTTTAGGACTGGAAACTAAACAAATATGTAAATAGTTCTATATTTTTTATAGTTTCATGGTGCACCTCTTGACATGTCTTTTCAGTATCACTCAAAATTCTCCTTAGGAAATGATGAAGAGATAAATCCATAAGCTTCCTATCAACATGAGGTGATACGGTTTCGAAATCTGTAGTGTCTTCTACCTCTGATTTTTTACAAGGGGAGAATTTACTATTATAGAACATTGAATCGATACAAATGTTTGAAACTGTTCTTGAAGTGGCTGCCAACAAAAGTGATATAAATCCAAGTAACATCATTTCTGCAGGAAAAGATAAACATCCTATTAATAGAAATATATCTTCTCAATTTTTTGTGTTTCTGCTATATTTCACTGTTACATTTGATTAGTCACATGGGAAAAATGAGTTAAAAATGAATAAGCCGTTCATAACTCTTGAGGGATTAGCTACCTTCTTTCATTTTCTCCAAAGCTTCAAATAGTGGATTTCTGTGGGTCTTCTTCAACCACTAGAAGTATGAGCACCATAAGTACTTACAACAGAAAAGTTAGTAAAAAAAAAAGAAGAAAATAAAGCAAGAGTCATGTAATTCTAATTGAAACTTGGATTACGAAAATCGTTCATTGAATTACAACCATTTACGGTAGCAGACATAAGCATTATGAATTGAAATAAGATGACCGTTTCTGAAAATTGTGCATTAAAATCAAAATAATCAACAATGACAAAATCAAAGGAGAGCACAAAAAACAGTGAGACAGAAAAAACTAGCCATGTGTTTCATCTTCAACAGAATCAAATTCCTACCTAGGCCCTTTGGGAGAGAGATATTATGACAAAGGAATGCATCTCTCATCAAGTATGCGAGGAGCACTTAAAAAAATCCAGAAAATCTTAAGAATCCAAATGTTCAAAAATCCAACAGCGCATGGAGCGCCTTAAAACAATTTATTAAACTTGTATATTTTCACACATCTACAACCCGCTTAGTACAATCAAAAGACTAGGCAAAACAAAATTCTTGCAACACGATTTCATGGAACTCATTTTCTTCAAGCAAATAGATCGCTTGGGGCTTCATTTTTCAGAATTCAAAATAGGAAATCTTCATGTTTCACATATATAAATTTTTTTTTTGTTGAATAAGAGATGAGTATCCATGAAAACAGCAATCTACACAAGGAAGGGCCTTAAGTTCATGCGTTCCCAGCACTTTAACCCAAGTATTGTACAGTACACATGAAGTAAATGTAGTAGAAATCATTTTTCCAAGTAAAAGGAAATCATGAGAAATAATTCCTCAAAAAAAACCTTAGCTGAATAAAAAAATTGAAAAGAAACTAATGCTTTAAAAAACCATCAATGGAAGAACACTTTGGATTAGTAGAGTGTGGCAAAGTGAGAAGAAGACAAGAATCTGAATAACACACATACTAAAAGAAAAGAAGAGGAAACTCTTACAGAGCTCAACCGATGGATAGAACGCTCCACGAGCAGAGAGACAAATACAAAAATGGTTAGCACAGTTGAAACTGACCAAGTAGGGGTCAGAGCAAGTGAACGCATCTCCAGACTTCCTCTTGACATTTCAAGCATCAAAACCTAAGAACCGAAGAAAAGATAAGAAAATCCAAGAATCTCCGTTTTCTTCCCAGATGTATTTTATCTAATGGTCGCACATTCCCAAATCAATTCTTTTGTACTTTAAATTTCACCTCATAGTACAAATGCAAGCTTCAAAGAGACAAAAAAGGTTCTTTTTTGGAGGAGGATTCAAGAATCTAGAAGGGAAAATGAAGCTCAAAGCAGCCGCTTTGGAAAATTGTCTGTTTCAAAAATAACTTCTCGATCACATTTTTCAGTACTCGAGTTGCGAAGCAATGAAGCTCAGTGTAGCAAAGACGAGACCTTTGATTTGATTCTGTGCGTTTGGCAGATCCCGCGTTAAACTTCAATGAAAAAGACTCTTTCTTTGCGTTCTTCGTTCTCCAGCGGAAAAGCTACCAGCTGGGCGGGAGAAAACAGGAAGGAAAGAAAAAAAAAAGCGATATCTGAAACTCCCAGCTGTGCGCGCGTGTAAACGAGAGAGTGACTGAAAGACAGCAAGGAAGAAGTTTCTTCTTGTTTTGCTTTCTGCGTTCAATCAACTGGTTTTAGGCTCACAAGAAGGAAGCAAATAGTGCATTCAAAGCCGCTTAATCCCACAAAGCAACATAGAGGCCCTTGGATTCATTGGTGTAGAAGTTGTAGCCATAAGTAAGCCTCCACATGCAGGACTTTCCTTGACTGTAAATATGTGATAATTATATATATCAAAGAGCCATATTTTTCCTAACTATTGCAAATGATTTTTAAGTTGATGAATAATTAGTTATAAAATATATAACTCAAAATTATGGCATGGATAAACAACTTTTTTAACCAACAACTTGTAGATAAATTCACTACAAATATTTGTTGATGATCACAATAAAAAAGTACATCTTAGCCCTTATAGCTTTAGAGGCTTCTCAAGAGAAATATATCTTATAAAATATGTTAATGGTGGACATCTGGCCATAATTATTGAACTTGAAGGCTACATTCCTTAATGTAACATTATATTTCTTTATTTGTAGAATGTTAGATTGAGTTAAGCTTGTCTATTATACTCTTTAAATAATACCAGGGAATTGGATGTTGCTTTTTAGCATAATTTTTGTACTTTGCATCTCTTTTTACTCTTGTTTGCCTCACCTTTGCCTCTAGGTAGAAGTGGATATGGATTTATGAATTTGATGAAGCAAGCCAATTTAAGATCTGGATCAACTTCAAATCACCAAGGCCTAAATCCGAACCCAAGTCCTTGAACTCCTTAAGCTAAATCTTTGTTATGCCTTTACCTACGATGAAAATCGTGTGACTCTACCTCTGCTTTAATTAAATCGATAATCTCACATTATTGCTGGCTTTGCACACTGCCTTGAACTCTATTTGATTAAGGAGCCTTTAAGCTAGGGCATCACAAACTTTCGCTCCTTCCTTCCAAGTCCACATACCTCTCCTTTATTAGGGCTAAGAATAACTTAAAGACTCAACAAATTACTGATGTCTCAACTTAGAGAGCTTATTTATGAATGTTCAATTAATTATTTGAATAAGTTTGAACACTTTTCTAAATATTCATTTGATAAATGAACTTGCTTGAATAACTTAATGTTTGATTTATTTATGATTATGAATAATATTATTTAAAACTTGTTTACAAACTCATCAAGAAATTTGATTAAGCTTTGATAATAAGCTCAATTACAAAATTATTTAGCATGTGATTATGTGGGAGTATAATTGTTCTTTTTTATGTTAGATTATATTTATTCATGAACACAAATAGGTTTTTTATTCTCTTTAAAATGATTTTTTTAGCAGTTAACTTTGTATAGAGTGATGATTTTAAGTTAACATCAGTTTGAGTTTGAATTTAACTAATTAAATAACTTCGAACTAAGTTTTATGATCCTAAGTTAGCATGTAAGCCACTCATTTATTAAGAAAAAAAAAGATTTTAATTCAAGGAGTTGTGCTGAAGTAATAAAAATAAGAAAATAAAGAAAAAAATAATAATTAATCATCCGAGATAAAGAAGAATGAGATAAATTTTAAATATTTTTAATAAAATATTTACAAAATATATACCTCTATTTCTCATCTTATAACACAACATTTGCATTTTGTCTATTAAAAAATTAGAGGATAACATACGTCACATCATAAAATTTTTATGTATTTATATATCTAACATCTAAATATTTATATTTACATATATACCATTTTAGTGTTTAAAATCACATCAAAACCATATCATGAAAATGTATGCATTACTCAAATAAGTTAGTATTAGTAATATTTTTCATGTAAAGAGCTTTAAGTGGTATATATATATATATATATATATATAATATTTGATCAGATATATATGCAAATCCCCTAAGATTTCATTTAATTTTTTTTCCATATAATTATGTGCATGAGTGGCCAGCAAGGGTAAAAGGGTCATCTATTTATTGATCACCTGGTAGATAGTTCATAATGCAAGTTCGAGAAGTTTCTATTTTTAACAAAGCTATAATTAGGCCCTTAATTCAACTTAAATAGAATTATAACTAATTAAGGCGTTAATTTTTGATATAGTAATATGAAGTAGGCTTTTGAATATAATACTTCTCATATCTTTAATTACCTCCTTTGAGTGCCTCAATTAGCTAAATTTAGCCATGCAAGCCAAAAAAATTTATTCTAATATTCTCATCTAAATTTGACAAAAAATACAAGAGATCCTTCTTGAATCATAATATTTGTTTTATTGATTTATGATTTAGTTTTTATTATTTTATAAGATAAAAATTAAAGAAGTATAGATAGTCATTTTTATAGGAATAAAATTAATATTTTTTGGAATATTAAATACAATCTTATAACTTAAAAAAGGACATTTTGATTTAATTTAACTTTTAATATTTTTATTAAATTTTTAGGCATATCATATTGGCAAAAATATGCAACTCAGTGTAATCTATAAGATCAACAGTACAAAAATTCATTAAGAACAATGAAAAAGCAGTGATTAAGTTTTCGCTTGGGACAGCTTTATTACTGCTTCTTAAAGTGACTGTCTAGTATAAATGTTTTAATGTTTGTGCTAAAAAAACTAATTAAAAAAGCAATAAAAAAGTCGTCCCAAACGAAACCTAAAAGTTGCCTCAAACAAAACCTAAATTGACTCAAAATTGAATATTCTCATCCCTATTTTTACCTTGCTAAATCAAGGCCACCAATAACTTAGGACCATGTTGCCTTAATAGAGAATATATATTGACTTCCAATGCACATATAATTTAATATCTAGCAACTTAAGTCCTATGTTGCATGTGCCCATATTCAAAGTTCTCTTCATTAGAAACTTGTAACATCAATACCATTAAAGTTGCCTTTATTATTATTATTATTCTTATTCTCTTGTCTAGCTACAAGGATATAGCTATTGCTTGATTTGACAAAAAGCTCTCACAATGTTTGAATTATTGAAGGGATGAAGCTTTATTCCTTCAACTATATGTGTAAGTTGAATTATTGGAGATTGTAAGTGATAATAAATCTTGATTAAAAATATATTTTAGAACTATTTATATGTTAATTACATGAAAATATTGAGTTTAATTTTATATTAAATATATGAAAAATGTAGCAATCAGAAGATTTTAGTACAACTTTTTTACTGCTTTGTATTTCAGACCGCAATCATAATTCTGTTTGACTACTACTTTCAAAAAATTCATATGCTTGGAAAATATTTTTTATAGTAGCTTTTGAAAAAAATATTTTTCCTCATGATAATTTTACAATCATCTTTATAAAAAAATTATAATCGTATCAAACGTACCCTTAATCTTTATCCAAAATTAAGAAATTAATATGTCTACCATCTTTATTAAAAAAAAAATGAAATGGTGGCAATGCCGACATGATAGGCAAAGATGAGGACCGACAGAGAATAGGTTAATGGCAGCTCTGAGCCCTAATCTTATAACAAAATAGATTCTTGTTTATTTTTTTTCTTATTTTTATTTTTTAGATTCTTGTATAATTAGAAGTCACACAACCTACAGATTTCAGAAGAACAAATATAAGAGAAATTGTTCTGAACTAAAGTTTTGTTTGTGACTGTTTTCTAATTATTTTTTAAAATAGTTTTTTCGTACAAAAAATTTAATTTTTGTATGAAAAATTGTTTTAAGAAACAATAAAAAATCATCTCAAATAAAATCTAAATCATAAATAATTGAAGCAATAATGATGATTATAAAATTAATGCTTATGTAGTCTTGTCATAATTATTTAGGTCAATGATTAGTAGTAGGAAAAAAATCAATTGAAATTATTTTGAGAGGTAATAATGCATGATTTATTAGTTGGAAGGAGATTTATTTTGCAAATATGTCCAAACATTTAGATGTTTTGTGGCAAAAAAATTAAAAACAAAGTACAATTATAAGCTATTTGAATGAAAAAATTCAAAAACTTATTTCATACCTTTTTTTCATAATTTGCTTTTATATATATATATCTAAGTTCTTCTATAAAGAAATATATGATTCATTTTATTTCTTTATTTTGACTCCTCTTAATTATATATATATATATATAAAATCTCATTTTTTAAGGCCAGAGAAATTTAGGCTTAATTTTAGACAGCTTTCTTGCTTTCTAAAACAACTTTTAGTATAAAATTTTCTTTAAAATAGCGGAAAAGTAATGACTAAAAACTTCTCCAAATGAAGCTTTAATCACACAACAACAACAACAAGCGTTTATCCCAATATATCGGGTAAATTAAATCTCCATTATATTCTATTAAGAGTCAAAGCGGTTTAAATAATAATTGTTAAGTGTTTTATGGGCTAAAATATGCCTCAAATGTAAGATTTTTTATTTTTTTGTTGAAGAAAAAGCTCTCTACCAATCCCTCAAAAGTGATTCAAACAATAGCTTTTAAAACTTCTGACAGCAACCAAAAAGGTAAAACATATAACAAATGCATTAATTTGCATGGTTTAATCTTAGATAACAACTCTGCATTTTCACAAATATGATACTGTCTATCATTTTAGGTGCTTAAATTGCTTAAAACTAACAATATATTTTCACAATGCCAAGAAAATATATGGCGTTTGAGTTGCAGGCAATTATTTGAATTTCATATGACCTCTGCATATAATTTTCAGCTGAAAATTGCTGAAATGTTGCTGCCTTCAATAGGTCCTTCAGTATATAAGATGCACACAACTCATTTTGATCTGTTGGTTGGAAACTTACGTTATCAACTAAGAGATCATAGATTCAAGTCTTGTGTATACTATGTGTGTGTGAGTCTGATTTAATATGCCTAAATGTCTAAAAAAAATGTATATCAGATGTTTTTTTTTTTTTTTTTCCTTCTAATTTGAGGGAGCTATTTTTGGTATTTTAGGGAGCTGGGACCTCATTGTGTTCTTTTCAATAGGTCCTTCAACTACAATGCAGCTGATAAATGAAGTTTAATGTATTGCTTGCTTTACTTTGCATAAGTTAAGCAATGCAGCTGATAAATAAGCTTCCAAATAACTACCGAAAGTATTTTTCCCGTTTCGAAATGAAAACGGTGCACAACTCTCCTTGGCCTATTGGTTGAGAGCTTAGGCTTCCAACTAAGAGGTCCAAGGTTCGAGTCTATGTGTATGCGTTGTGTGTGTGAGTTTGCTTTAATTGGCCTAAATGTCCAAAAAAAAAAAATGAAAACGGCGCTAATTAAGCCATCCCAAACGAGGCCTTAATCCTATACCAATCCACGACAATAACCTGGTCATTGTCCATCTTGAGCGACAGGGTTGAAACTGGAAGGAAAAATAAGACAGAAAAGTAAACAACAACGATACAATTTCAAATCAGATCTTAAGCAGGGAATCACAAGCGCCGCACTGAATCAAAAAACTTCCAACATTAACAAAATCCATCAAGATAATCATAACACTAAAGAAAACATCTCATTCTCATAAGAAACCATCATCATAGGCAAGTTACATTACAAACAACATCAACACACATAGTTTAGGATTCCAACGAAGACTACCAGATTTGATTTTTGGTAATTTAAAGGACATTTTACAATAGGCATGCATTAGACACTTGAAAATAATTTCACAAACTAATTAGGCAGAATCTTACGCAGAAGAATCACAATTTGCTTTGCTCTGAGCATGATGATTCAGCTTTCCTGATCTGCTTTATTCTTAGGGGTACCCGGTCTTACTGACAAATCAGCTCCCTACGAATTCTACTTGGCTGCATCCTGTGGCTGCTGTTTATTTGGCAAAAATTGTTTCGCCACAAGGTTTTGGGGAATGTATTCCATCACTGAAAACAAGATTTCCCCTGACAAAAGTAGCCAGTACTTTTCCTGAAAGCCTTTTTCCCATGTAGGCTGAAATACTCTGAAAAAAATCAAAGAATGAGGAAAATGCTCCTATTTCAGTTGATGCATTAAATTCACATGCTTTGATATCGAAACATAAACAAAGAAAAATTATAAAAAATTTAAATAATAAATTTAATTTCATGCAAAGAAGATACTTATGAAAGCAATTTTTGTGTTCAAACAATATGAAAAATAAAGAAAAGCAGAGAAAAAGTCTTTTAATTTTCGTTTATATTGAGAATATACATAATAGAGTATTATGAGAATTGATTTGGTGAAAATTAAGAAATCAATGTCCATATCTTAAATAAGGGAAATCAGAGAAAAAGTCTTTTAATTTTTGTTGATATTGAGAATGTATATAATAGAGTATTATGAGAATTGATTTGGTGAGAGTTATGAAATCAATGTCCATATCAAAGATATGATAAGCAATTGAAAATATATATGATGGTTGACTAGCATTAGAAATACTGGAGTGAACAATTAATTTCAAATTATGTAATAGAATTTCATCAAGGAACAACATTAAGTTCAAGTCTTTTTGCATTGGCTGTGTGAAGCTAACAAATGATGTAAATGATGTTCAAAGTGAGGAGCATTAGTGTATATATACTCATAGAAGATGACATAATTAATGAAATATTGCTAAAATAAATAAATAGTTCAAGCAATGGAGAAAACATTTAGAAGATAAATGGGCTTATAAATTGAAACATAAAGATCAAATATATGATATATATATTGTATGTAGGTATGATTTAGCAATCAACAACAACAACAACAACAACAACATCAAGCCTTTATCCCACTACGTGGGGTCGGCTACATGAATCCTTTTTCTCCATTGTGTTCTATTAAAAGTCAAATTCTCATTTAAACCTATTAAAGAAAGGTCATTCCTAATATTTTCTAACCAAGTCTTTTTAGGTCTACCCCTACCTTTCTTAACATAAGTCAAATCTAATACCTCTACTCTCCTAACCGGGTCATCGAAAGGCCGTCGTTTTATGTGACCAAACCATCTAAGGCGACTCTCTCTAATTTTATCTTCTACTGGAGCTACTCCAACCTTTTCACGTATATGCTCATTTCGTATCCTATCTCTAAGGGTAAAGCCACTCATCCACCTGAGCATTCTCATCTCTGCCACACTTAACTTAGTATTATGCTTCTCTTTTAATGGCCAACATTCGGCACCATAAAGCATTGCAGGCCTCACTACCATCTTATAGAATTTTCCTTTAAGTTTGAGGGGTACATTTCTATCACATAACAAGCCCGATGCATTCCTCCACTTCAACCATCCAACTTGAATTCTGCTGATAATATCCCCATCTATTTCACCATCACTTTGAACAATTGATCCAAGATATCTAAAACGTGAACTCTTATTAATGACTTGATCGCCCAAAGTCACAATCCCTTCAGTAGGTCTATTACTACTAAAATTACACTCCATATATTCCGATGATTTAGCAATCATCAATTAAAATTATTCTACGAAATATTAATGCTTAGGATTCATTTGAGATGGATTTAGCTTTTGTAAAAGTAGTTATAAAGTTGTTATGGGGAAAGTAACTTTTCTGAAAGCGGCTGTAAAAAAGTAGCTTCCTAATACAAAATTTTTTAAAAGCAACAAAAAAAAAAAAAAGTAGAATGTGGTTGCAGTCTGAACAGCAAAGCAATAATAAAACTATCCCAAATGAAGCCTTAGGTGTGATAAGTTTAAATATCTTAGAACTATTATGCATAAGACTGCAGATATAACTAGGCTATAACATCCAAAGCAAAGACTTACATGATAAAATGAAAAAGTGTCTTAAGAGAGAAGAGTATATCAGGAATCCTTAAAGATAAACTTTATAAAACTAGAATTAGGATAATTATATTATATGAATCTGACTATCGGGTAGTACAAAACGTGGCTAATAACTAATTACTCTTAGTGAAAAATATGATGTTAAGATATTAGTGTGAAAAAACTCAGAAAGATAAATTGATGAATAATTATATAGTAGAGATGGTCAAAGTAGCATCCATTAAAAATCAGATGGTTGATAATACAAATAGCTGATTTGAACATGTAAAATAAATAGTAAAAAATGCACCCCATTAGACAGGTCAATAAAATTATTGTTGAAGTACTATGAAGAAGAAAGTAGGCCTAATGTAACATTGATATATGTTGTTCAGCAAGATTGAATGGCAAATGAGGATCCATAACCATTAATATTTAGGATAAGGCCGATGATGATGATGACGACGATGGAAAATTTTTCTTTTATAGTTTATCAATATTCCCATTCCTAGCATGGGCAGATTGAATATCTAAATAATGAAATAAATGAAATTAGGTTGTGTTTTTAATGAAAGGTTGGGAAACTAATGTATGTTATACTTCTATAGACTATGGAACTATGATTTGTTCAAGCTTGGTTGCAAGTATGACTTTCATGGTTGAACATGATGGGTCCTGCCATATAGAATTTAATTTGAGAGATCTCCTAAAAATGCAAATTATTCTAGAACAGTTTGTTTTACGAGCTGGGAGACTGGATTGGTTAGAGGGGAAGGGCGAGGAGGAGGCTGATGAGAACTGCAAAATAGAAACTGAAAATTTGATCTTTCATAGAATGTAACTTCTTACCGGATTCTTACTGAATACTTTATAGTTATCGTCAAGATCAAATTCCACTTCAGGTTCCCAAACCACAAAGTCAGCATCATTTCCAGTCACAATGGCCCCCTGAATTAAAACAATGGAGAAAAATGTTAATAGAAGAACGCAATTGAGTATGAATGTGCTGGTTTGGTTTAAAATTTGCTCATAGTGCCATGCTTTTGCACTTTTCAAAAATTCACAATCCAAATAAGTTAATATTCATTGAAAATGTCTATTATATTATAGATAAGCTAAAATTAAGACATATATAATTGAGATGCAAAAATATCAAGCAATTTAGCATTCAGCCCTAAAACCAGTTAATGTTTCCATTAGATATATTTTGTTTCAATCAAAAGTGTATAGAGCTTTGATGGATTATTATTTTTATTTGAAAGTGACCATTGGGTATCATGTCAAGGTCATCCATGCCAACTCAGTGTAGCTTGCAACATCAAATTGTACGGTTATGAGTAAGACATTTTGAACAAAGAACAAAATATACATAATAGCACAGATATAGTTTGGTGAGTACCACTTAGAAAGCTTATTAATTTCCCGTCGGTAGGCAGCTGTTGCTTCTTTCCAGAGAAATAAGGAAAGAAACAACGTGTTTTTGCCTTTTATTATATATGGTGACATCCTGTTAAACCGGTCCTTAGTGGACTGGTCTAGCTGGCCCCTTCTATGGGGCCGGTTTGGTTTTATAGTAGGAAGGGGGCCACGACAAAGGAGAAAGAGAGAAGGGTGCGGTCCACTTGATTTTCAAATTCTAACTTGGAGCCAAAGCAGGGGGCGGCATGGGCATTTTGGTCTTTTGGTTCTATTGTTTAATTGCATGCCTTAAGTATGATGAAAATTAGGGTTAATGTTATGCTTGATTATTGTTTCTCTTGAAGTTTTCTTTGCTGTCTTGGGCTCTAGACTCATCGTCTAGAGATTGGAAGAGAACGATCCTCCTCTCGAATTGAGGATCAATTGTATCTTTGCTTTGTGCTTGCTTTGATTTGATTCCTATAATACAATCAACTGTTTTGGATTGTTTTCACTGGAGTTCTTGATTTTTCTTGCTGTTTTTATCAAATATTGTTAGGTTAGCTTGCAAACTCAAGTATTTCCCATTAGGGTTACTTGCGAACTCAAGTATTTCCTATCACATCCCTGGATGGAAGGTGTGCTAGTGGGCTTGAATTTCTGACTGCAGCGGGCGGCCATCCCTGCAGCTAGCGGGCTTCACCAGATGACAAGTATAGCTGGAGACCAGCAGGAATTAATGTGTAATTGCAGCGGTACCAGCATTTCTTATAGGCCCCACGCATTGGGTTGCCTAGGGGCTTATTCCTTGGGATTCTATCAAATTATTTTGAGTCTGCTTAAAATTAAATATCTGTCGTAATATTTAGTTTTCCTTTCTTATTAGCATATGTTTAGCACCAAAGAATAGCATAGATCTCCGCACTTCTATTTTTCAGTTTTCTCCAACCTCCACTGACCTAACGGTTTAAGATGTTAAGCCTTAATCAAACCTCATTTAAACCAAACACAATAAATTCATTATTTTATGTGATTTTTATATCTACCACTTTTATTTTCACACCTTCATGCATCATTGGTGAAATGCAGATCATCGTAGCATTACAGATTACTTTGCTTATTTTTGTAGAAGATTGAAAATGACAAATAGTTCGCAAAACGGTAAGAGCATTAATTTGCTCCTGGCATATGCCGATTGCCATTGTTTGCTGCATCCTTCATAATGGCAAGGTCCATCATTCTCATGTGCTGCAATATTCTTTTCGATGTAAGCACAGTTGGATACTAGTTAAATAACTTACAGAGGCATGCTGTTTTTTCAGTCAGATAGTTGCATTTCAGTGCTAACCATACATTTTTTTTAATCTTTCTTTCAAGAAATGTAATCTCAAAGTGGAATAAATTACTTACCTTATGTTCTTGGCCTGCAAACTTAGCTGGTTTCTCACTCCACAATTTAACTAAGTGGCTCAACGTTATTCCATATTTTTGTCCATAAGTCCAAGTAGCAGGAAGATCAAACTGAAAAAGTAAGAAACCGATGTTTTATTAGTTAATTTATCGAAGCAAACTCAAAAAACCTTTGACGCCAGGCAACTTTTGCATTAACTTTGAAATGGCATGTATTAACATACAAAAAAGATTATTAGAATTATGTAAAGCTAGCGCTGAATAAGTCATAATATTCATAACTTCTCGCATAAAATAGCTGCGAAGATAGAGCCAACAATAAATAGCAGAAGCAGCAATATTATACTAATAACTACTTGACGTTGGCTGTTTGGAAGATGGATCACACAATTGCATATGTGAAAGATACTGTCAAAACTTACGTGTCAAGGGAATAACAATTGGAGGTAGGAAACTGTTAGACCGGTCCTCCCTGGACCGGTCCAGCCGGCCCAATCCAGCGGGCCGGTTCGCGTCTACCGAAGGAGGCGGGCGGAGAAAGGAGCGGACGGCGCAGGGAGGCTAGAGGTGGGGCCCATTTGAATTTCAAATGGTTTCTTGGAGCCAAAACGAAGGGAAGTGAGGGCAATTAGGTCCTTTTGTGTCTATTTTGAATTGTATGCATTAAGTAGGGAGTAATGGGGTGGTTTAGGGTTATGTGATTGTTTTGAAGTTTTCTCTTGTTCTTCTTGTTGATTTGGGCTCTAGATCGTATTCTAGAGACTTGGGAGAGTGCGATCCTCCTCTCGAATAGAGGATCCTTGTATCTTTGCTATTTTCCTTTCATCTTCTAGTAAAATACAAGTTCGTACTTCGTGTTTCTATCATTTTTCTCGTGTTTTTCCCACTGTTTGGCTGATTTCCTGCTGTGGACAGCAGTTTTGCTGTGAGATCTTTGGCTAAAGTGATTAGTAAATACTTGGAATCAAGTATTTCCTATCAGAAACCTCCATAACCAAAAAAAAAAATCCTTGCTACTTGAAACTGTCCTAGAAACCTTTTAGGTAAACCTCTTCATCGTAATTAAGAGAAACTAAAGGAAGATGGGACATCATTAAGCAAAAACATATTAGAAGGAATAATGAAGCCTTGGATAATAACGAACTAGCATATTGTACATGGCTCTCTAACAACTTTGCATAGCTATCCTTCCAGTTAACATGAGACGAATTGACTAATTCATTTTAGGTATAATGTACATGTAATGCGATAGGACTAAGCGCAAAAGTTGAAAAGAAAAAAAAAAGATTGCAACTGTTGAAATAGATGAGCAAAAGAATTAAATATTATAAGCATACCTGCAAAGAAGATACTCCTCCCCATGCCCTTAAGAAATCACCTTCCTTCAAAAGTTTAAGTTCCGGTGTTGATGGTGAATGGTCAGAACTTAGCATGTCAATGTGGCCCTCCTGAAGTGCAGCACTTTTCAGATTGCCATGTAAATATTCAAAGCAGATAACATATGAAGAACATCACAGATGAGATTACATTACCAGAAGAGCCTCCCGCAACTTTTGCCTATTGGCTTCATCACGTATGGGAGGAGCACATTTAAATCGAGTATCCCCATCTGGAATTTCCTCTGCCGAGAATGCCAAGTAGTGGGCACATGTTTCCACACTGACGCTAGCTCCAGAACTTTTGGCATCCTGATGATAATGGAAATTTTATAAATGAAAGCATAAAAATACATCCCTAATAAACATAAGGACAATAAACCAACTCTACAGATTTTTTTTTTGGTTACTTTAAAGAGAGAAATCCTACTTAGAAGAGTTTCTTTGACACAAACGCTTGTTGGCCTATTATTAGTTTATTACTAAAAAATATATCAATTAAATGAGGGCTTCGAAAATTCACACCCCAACTTCTCGCCAGCAAGATTTAGAATATTTTCAACCAAAGAGGCAAATTGAATTAAAAATAAGACACTGCCCATAGAATTCATCCTAATTTTGGGAGGACTTTTACATCCAGGATTTCATAGGTAAAAGCCCCTATGATTAATTATCCTTCACAGTAACGAGAGAGAACTTTACTAATCATTAGATAGACACTAAGCTCTTAGCATATTGTAGCAACAAAATGATATAGGATATTAAATTTATCACGTAGATGGTAGGGGAAATGATGACAAAACCCAATTAAGATTGTATAATTTCATAGTTCTTGGTCTACTTAAATTATAAATTTTCTTTATAAAAGACATTGAAAGCATATCATGAACGAAAAATAAAATATCTTCGCCAATTTTACAATTGTACGTTCATTTGTGAGTATAGGTTTTATATTGAATTATTTGGAATTCATTGTTTGGGCATCCTTGAGAAACATCATGTAAAAATAAATTTGACTTTCATATTTGAAAGAGTATTTGCAAATTTTCATAATAGTTGTTGACGCGGACATCCGATGGTGGACGATATTCAAAGGAATGGTCGAAGATCGACGGCCGAGATCACTCTGTTTTATTTTAGTTTATTAATTGTATTTTGATTTAATTTTGCAATTTTCCTTTTTACCCTTTTTATTTAAGAGTCTTGCTTATGTAAGCCCAAGGGAAAAATTTGTCTTTTAGTTTCTTTTGAGGCCTATATATAGAAGCTCCTTCTCTTGTATTAGGGATGTTGGAGTTTTAATAAAAAAATTGTTCTGCACTTTTATTCTTTGGTAGGACGTTAATGAGAATTCCTATGAAGGGAATCATAGTTTCCACCAGCCCCAGGATGGGTCCGGGCTCGTGGCTTGAAGTCCCTTGGTGAAGGGCAACACATCACCCGTCAATCTTCGAAAGAGTCCAAGACTCGTGGTTCTATCTTTTTTCTTTCTTTCTTTGTTTTGTTTTTCCTTATTTCCCTAAACCGCCACCTCCCCCTTTCCCCCCTCCAAGCCGCCGGTCACCTTGTGGCCACCCCTTTCACTAACCCCACCCAACTTCAACCCTAACCGCCACCTTTTCCATTACCTCTTCCCATTAGCCGAGATCAACCATGGTTCAACCCACTCATCAGACCACCTCCTTCCCTAGCCCCACTTTCCTCCAAAAATTCCTCTTTCCTTATTTAGGTTGTCATTAATTTGGAAAGATTTTAAATTCAAATTAATCTAATTTGAATTTCAAATCCATCCAAACTCCCTCTTGATTACCTTCCTAAATTAGATTTTGTTAATTTGGAAAGTCATTCAATTTTGAATTTAAATAAATTTAAATTTCAAAACTTTTCCAATTTAATAAATTATACATTAGGGAGCCTCCTCCAATTACTCTCAATCTGAAATTAATTTCAGATTTAATGCCCCCAATCCCATTTAATGCTTGATCCACATATATCGAATGTGGACATTATCTTTCCCTCCACCCATGGCCGGCCCCTCCCCTTTCCATATTCTCTCCTTAATTAATTCTACATCCCACCAATTAAGGCAATTAACCCCTCTTTCTCTTGATTGGAGCCAATCTCGCTTTGATAGCCTACTTTCCTAAAATATTCTAAATAATTTTGGAAAGTGAATCAATTTGATTTGAATTCAAATTCAAATTTCAAATTCTTTCCTAAATATCTAGGATTAAATTCGGAAACCCCTTAAATCAATCCCAATCAATTTCAAATTAAATTGGAGTAACTATCTCTCTTTCTAAAACTGAAATTCAATTTAGGAGAGCATTAACTCCACCAATCCACTCCCCAAACCCATGCATGCCGCCGGTTTTCCGCCCCCCTAGAATTTGAAATTCATATGACCCCCCTCCCTTCTCGTTCTACATCAGTTGTTCATTCTTCCATGAATGATGCACGATTCTTGGAGCAAATTCAATTTAATTTCAACTTATTTTCGATCCATAGCATTAGTAGATGTTGAATTTAAACACTCAACACGTTCATTGTAGCACATGCGAACTAGCTTAAATTTTAAAAAGAAGAGATTTGTGATGTTTCAATATAATCACAGTTTTGAAGCCATCGCACATTATTTATAGCCGGTGAGAATTTGGGTTCATTAATCTTAACGCCCAAAGCATTCTCAGGCCTCAAATCTAAGAGTTTGATGCATTGGTAGGAGCATACATGTGTTGATTTCAATAGTGCAATGCGTCGCAAACACTTTTTGATGTATTTACATTGCATATTTGCATGCTTTTTAATACACTTACGTTACGCACTTGCATACTTGCAAGATCTTTGGTGAGCATATATAGTGTGCTTGCTCATCCAAGAGTACACTCGCAAGTTCTTCTACGCGACTGCACAATGCATTTGCACATTGTCAATACATTTAGAGGACGAGCGGACAAGATTCTTTACGTGATTTGACAAGTCTCATGCATTTTATAAGAATGGTTAAGCAAATTGTCACCCACAATAGTAAATTGTTTTGTTTCATTCAAAAATTTCTTTCACAAGTTGCAGTATTCATTCACGAGACGTACAACTTGGTCACAAGAGGTGTATGAGCTTCCTTTTTAAAAATTAATATACGCATCATTAGAGTAGTAGTACACCCATGATGTGCAATAGTATTGACCATTTCGTCTTGTTCAGCAACCATTCACATGAATGTGACTATTTAGGATGGATGAGTTTGATGTAGCAATTGTTTACGTGAAGATGTTGCCCTTGGAATGTACATGTGACTTCGCATTATAAATTTATTATTGCTCACATTCTATCCTCTTGTGCATGTTTTGCATATTCGATTGCGAGTGTCATGAGTTAGAATCCAACAGGTGTTTCACATTGTCCTTTTTGTTACCTTATATGATTGAAATTTAGTTAAGTGCAAAGAGAGGTTTATTCGCGCTCGTAGGCAAGTTACCGAGATCTTTACAAGTCCCATGTCAATCATTGTAAGTTTAGTACTTGTTCTCATTTTGCCATTTTCATTCTTTTATTTTTCTTATGTTAGTGTTATATTCCCTAGAAATCAATTTAATATGAATTTTGTCAGTCTCCCAGCATCTTCTCCACATAGGGGGCGTCTTTGGGATTGTTATGCATGTGCACTACGCCAATGAAAGAATGTATGATGATACTGTAAGACAATGCAACTGAGGGGTCTATGCTTCCACCACGCCCAAAAAGAAGTGTATGGGGGTCTTTGTGTACCTGCTTATAACTCCCAATGTTTCCTCATCAAACCAAGAAAGACATGTACAAGTACTTAAATTTTCTCCATCACGCTAATTAAAGTACATGAAGGGCTTACTCATCACGTCACGAATTTCACCTACAACGTTATAAAAAATGTGCACATGAATCAAATGTGTAGCATTCAAGATTTGATAATTTTGAGAGTTTGTGAGCTTATAGCTTTATGCACGAGGTTGTGACAATAAAGGCGAGAAAAAGAAATGACGCCGCACAAAAAAATTTCTACTTTTTTCTTCTTTTTCTTTTTCATTTTTCAACAATTTTTCCTTTTTTTTTTAATTTTTCTCATTTCTAGTGATAGGGGATGAAGAAATAAATAGGGTTTAAGAGAGAGAGAGAGAGAGAGGGAGCGAGTGCAAAAGAGAAGAAAGGGAAAGAGAAAAGATAGAGAGAGGAGAGAGTAAGAGAGAGAAAGAAAGGAGAGAGAGGATGAGAGAAAAGGAGAAATAAAGAGGGAGAGGAGAGACAAAGGGGGAAAAAGGGGGAGCGACGTCAATGGTAGTGATGACTGATGGCAACATCGACGGTAGCAACGACGACGACGAGTTCGAGTAGGTTGTTGGAGTGATAGTTAGGTCGAGTTGTGCGGGAGGTCAAGCAGCAGCTAGGGTAGAGGGAGCGACAAGAGAGTAAGGGAGAGATGATGCATGAGGGAGAAATGGGAGAGGCGAGGTAGCACTTACAGGCAATGTGTGAGGAATGGAGATAGGACGAGGAGTCGTACGCGTTATTTGAGCGACATGTATGTTTTATTTCATTTTATCTTATTTTTCTATAGTTTCTTTTGATCAACAATGCCACCCATATTTGTTACAAATGGATCTTCAAGAGTTCTTTTATAGGTTGAACTAAAATTTAGATTTTATAGATTTATTGTAGAGCATTCTTGGATGTAAACACAAGGAGGGAGTTAAACTATTGATTAGCCTTTAAATTTTCCCTCGTGCATTTAATGCATCCTCTTTTCTTTTCCTCTTTTATCACAACTTTTCATTAGTATTATGGTTTGACCTAAAGAATTTGTCAAAATCCAATGTTTGATATTGCATGAGGATGTGCATCTAACTCTAGAAGACATCAATTTTTTTATTATTTCAGCTCGACTAAAATAGCTTGTTAATCAAGCCAGGATTGTTATTGATCCAATGCTTCGTGAGTAGTGGACTTGATGATAACGAATTCAATTTGTAATTTGTGGATTGATTATGGTATTCCTGCTATCCTATGCTTTGTATGACATACTTGGCAAAGGGTGGATATTGGTGACCTAGCAATCGAGAAATGAAGGAGAAATCCTTGAGTAGTGTTTAATCTTCAATCTAATCTGCTTTATGAAAATTTAACTTAGATGCACCAAAACTCTTGCAGAAAAGGCCGGGATGACAATTTTCATATCCCATAATACTTTGCCCACTAAGGATATGGAGGTTTGGACATTTGAGTCACAAAACCGTCATATAGATGGTTCAATTAATGAGTGAGAAGATGTTTCAAACAAGCAATAGCACTTCTGTAGTGCCTTTTTTATGCAAGCAAAAATTTGGGAAAAACCCTAAATTTTTGCTAGCAAAAACAATACTTTCATAGGTAATAGAAGATACACAAAGACACTCTTGAAACAACAAAAACAACAACTTTATAACATATAAAAAGACAATTACAACTTTGACACTTACAAACACAAACACCTTACAATTCTTGACAAACAAAAAACACCTAAAGTTTTGCTTGAGAAGAAGGATACATGTGAGATGATCACTTGCGGATAGAAGAAAGAGGTTAGAAGACTAGACGAAGTATAGGAGTAACTCGCAAGTTATCCCAAGAAGGAGAGGAAGAAATGGAACAACCTCTCAAGCTTTTCCAAGAAAAACCATCAGATTTTTATCCAAAAATCAGCCATCAAAACTCTCAACCAACCTGTTAAAACAGCCACAAACATCTCTATATATAGGCACAAAAAGGGGAGTCAAACAGCCACCTAAAATTTCATTTAAACCCAACCAACTAAGGGGAAGAGGAAGGGCAAAAGGCTGTTCAAATTCTGTCCAAAAACAGCTCCCAAAATGCAAGCATTTATTATAAAACAACAACCAAAAATTGCAGAGGAAACAGGGAGAAAGAAATACGGGAAACCCAACCAGAAGTCACGGGAAGCCCAGCCAGCTAGGGACCCGAAGAGCCAGCACAGGAAATAGGGCAGAGCTTCATGGAAAACAGCCAGGGAATAAAACCGAGAGCTATGAAGCACCGACATTTCTCCTCAAAGAGGCGTGCAGTATCCGACACCGTGTCCGACACGACACTCGTCCGACACTCCTCCGACACGTGTCGGACACGCCAAAAACGTGTCCAATTAAAAAAATTGGACACGCGTATCTTAAATATTTTATAATTTTTTTAAAATATAATTTCTTATATTTCTTATTTCATATCCACAACACCAAATCAACGTCTGCATTTAATACCCATTCATCGAATATTCTCATTTTCATTTCTCTTTGGCAGTGAAGGTATTTTCATCTCCTCTCTTTTTGCACAATAACACATCTTTCTCTTGTTGAACCAGAGTTAAAGTAGTGATATTCAATGATGATGATATTGAAGGCCAAAAACAAACCTCTAAAGCTAATCCTAGTAGTTGAAGCTTGAATGCTTGATGTTGTAGTAAGTGATTATTTGCTTATATTTTTGTGGTTATACTAGATATTTTGTACTAAATATTTTATATTATAAACTAGACAAGTTATCATGTTATTCATTTATTATTGTTTGTCATTTTTAATATGATATTACATTAATATATATACACTATATAAAAAAATGTATTGCCGTGTCTGCGTCGTACCCGTGTCCTATATTTTCAAAAAAAGTCGTGTCCGTGTTGCCGTGTCCGTGCCCGTGCATCATAGACCGAGAGGTAGTGATCATGGGAATAGCAATAGCCACCAGAAACCGAAAAGACAAGGGGAAGGGAAGAGACACAAAATATAACTCATTTTAATGAGCTTACAAGAAGAATACCTTTTCCAATTAATGAGCTAACATTAGCTCAAGCATTTATGAGCTAGAAACTAAGTAGAACCCAATTTTTAAGCTCAACACTAAGCAACCAAAACCCAATCCAAGAGTGAGAATAGCAAGCAGCCCAAGGACAAGAGGATCAAGATGAATTGACCCCCCCTGCTTACATCACTTTTCAGGTAATATAATGACCTAGTAATATTGAAATACTTGAATATTATGAAGCATCTCCCTGGGTATTGAAGTATTTTGGTTGCTTAATGATTTCCTGGCAAATTTGTTGTAGGTCAAGCGCTCAAAAAAAAAAAAAAAAAAAAGGGTTATTTTACTATGCAAGGTCAACATTCTTGTAGCATGCAAGATTGGGAGATCTCGGAATTAACATAGAATATAATAAGTAAAATACATATCAAACTTCAAGGCATGGATTTCTTAACCTTTTAAGGTTTGATTCTAGGAATTGAAATTTGGATAATGTTATAGATTAGCACTAGATTGCAATTTTACATATTTGCATTGTTTTAAAGTATTCTTCATCAATAACATATAAAAAATAGGTGTTTGTAAAACGGTGTTCATGTGGACTATGCATATCTGACTTACTGACCATACCTTGATGAGGTTTAGTGAAGTTTCTGCATCTGACAAATGAACAATGTGAACATGAGCACCTTCTGCACGGCCTCCTACTTTTGTATCCTCCATTGCTGTTTGCAACTCTCTAATAGCCTCGATCTCCCTGTTTATGTTTTTTGGAGATACAAATGCTTCATATGAATTTGGACGGAATATTTTTCAAACAAAGCATGCCAAACAAGCAATAAATAAATAAACAAAGGTGGCAGTGGTAGGTGACTCTTTCATTTGGGGGGAAGTATTCCTTTATAGGATTGGGTGACAATAACATAACATTATGAGTCCTTTCAATTTTATTTTTTGATAACCTAAAATGATTTTCAACCATGGAAGTTGATAAATTCTTTGTGATATTATTCTGAATATAGAGTTAGCACTTAATCTTCAAACAACTGGTTGGTTCTTACTTCTACATGAAATGAGATTTTGTGGTGGCAAGATAAAATACCCGATGGTGATCTTCTATTCACAATAGACCCTGCATAATCCATATATATACATAGCCTTCTAATCCAAGAGCTTCTGGTATTACGTACAAGATGCCTTTTCCAATAGTGGATTTCAAGTACTAGATAAATATATGTGCATCTTGAAGATGAACTTCCTAACGTTTCTAGATATGTTAAAAAAAAAAAATTAAAAAAAAAAGGTTTATATCAAATGCTATTTCTAATTGGGTATAAGAGAAGTAGATTATTCTCCTAACAAACCTTCTGTGTTCCCCTTTGTCTACATCCTTCCTTTATGATTATCCAATTTTTATCAAGTTAAATTAAAGCTTCACATGGCTTGCAATCTAATTTGTTTCTTTCAATAATTTCATAACATATTTACGTTGAAAGATAAATATGCCTTTTACATAATGTGCAAAATTTTAGCTTGGCTTCTTTGATCATAAACTCTACAATGAATTTTCTTCTGACTTCCTCAATTTTCTCATCATCTTCACCTGTTACAACTTACAATTATATGATCAACATAATAATAAGAAACATAATGCCTTTGACGAAGTGTTTTATAAAGAGTGCATGGTTGATTACGTTGAAATCCCAATTTGATCATAGCTTGTGTGAATATGCCAAATCAGACTCCAGATGATATCTTGAGAAGTAATCACTAAATTCAGGTAGAGGGCCCATTTAAACTTATTTTGCATCTACAAATACGAAGGCCTTCTTCGCATTACTCTATTGCATAGAACATCCAATGTAAGCTAACAATAAAAATAATATTTGAATGATATTGATTTTTGGAATGGGGGTAAAGAGTAGTATATTACATATATTTGGGTGAATCGGTTATCCAAAGTTGGCCTAGTCTAGAACATCCATATTACTATGAAGGATACTCCTATTGCTTGGGTGCCCGCACAAGAAAAATGACAAAATGCCCACCCGCACGCACGAAATGAGGACAAGGTCGACATGCACGAGCGATAGCAAATTCAACACTGAATATACATAGATTTAAAATAAATATTTATTTCTTATTATTATAAAAACCTAATTTTAATTTTTAAAAACTATTTTAATATTTTAATAAAGGTTTTAAAAATTGGATCGGATCAGCCGGTCCGACCGGTTCAACCATGAATCGATCATAAACGCCGGTCCGATCAAGCATGAAAACCACTTTTGCATCAAACCGTACTAAACCGTCAGTTCAACCGGTAAACCGGTCCCGGTTCCTTTGAACTGGCCAATTCAATTGCCAAATTATATAAATAATAAAATAAATTAATTTATTACATTTAAGATTAAATATTAAATAATATTCACAGTTTAACAAATTAATTTAAATTTTAAATACTTCATTTTTTAATAAGTATGAAATTCTTATAATAATTATTTTCCCCAAAACATCAATGAAGCATCTTCACATGGTCCCACCATTCCATGTGAGTTCTTAATGCATGTAAACCCAAAAATCTATATAAACAATAGTAAGAGAAAGTTCCTGAGTCATGTGAGACTAAATAGATGAGTTGAGATTAATTATGAAACTCACAACATATATATTATATGTTTTTAAACATATTTTTTAATTTAATTATTTATATTGTAAATAATATTATTTTTTAGTTTATAATAATAATAATTTATTTATTTCTTTATTTATTATTATTATTATTTTAGCAAATTTAATTTTTTTTTATTTTAATAATAAATAATTTTTAGTTAATAATATTTAAGCAAAATTAATTTTTATCTATTATTAATAATAAATTATTTAACCTAAATAATTTATAAATGTAAATTTATAATATAAATTTGGTATATAACCTATAGATATAAATTATATTTACGCATATATCATAAATTAATAATAATTTATATTAAATTGATAAATTTATATGTTTATTAAATTTATATAAAATGTGAATCAAAATTAAAAATTAAATTTAAAATTATACAAACTATTATTTATGTATGATTGTTTTTAGTCAGATTAATATTATTGCATGATTATATCATTATTATTTAATTTAGATAATACTTAAATAATTTTAATATTTATTATGTCATCCGATCCAACCTCGGTTAAATCATTAAACCTTGAACCTCTCCTTCTACCGGTTCAATGTTTGGTACAATTTTCACAACCTTGATTTTAATTAATTAAAAAAAAGTAATAAAATAAAATAAAGAATTTTCAATTTTGAAATCTTTTGGATAGAAAAAACCCTATTATTTTGCTGCAGCAAAAGGACCCTCGTATCCTTTATTTATCTTTATTTTATTAAAAAAATTAAAATTTAAAATAACCTAACATATGCTTGCTATCACTAATTCAATCAAACTCATGCAAGCACATGACACTCTCATCACTCACATGAAACCCTCTCAATTTCTCCTACACGCACAATCAACCAACACACCGCTCACAACCCCATCTGGTACGCACACGACCCTCGACCCTCCTCTTCTGCTTGCACACGGTTGTCGACCACTATTGGCCAACCTCCCTGCTCACGATTCCCCAGCCCATCGCGTGCACCATCTTAAGGTCTCTACTCATGCCGCCAATGCTGATTGCTCTCCAGTTACCGCCACCTCTTCCTCCTTCCCTCTTCTTCTCTTTCTTTTCCTTTCTCTATATCTCATCCTTCTCTTTCTCTCTCTACACGGGGAGAGAAGTCTCTCTTCACACTCTCTCCCTCTTCCCATAGCTCCCTCTGCCTTTCTCTCTCAACAAAGAAACCACTTCTCTACTCTATTTCTTTCTCTAAATAGAGAGAAAAAGACCTCTCTCCACTTCCTCTTTCTTGCTCTCTAAATAGAGAGATAATCTTTAAAAAATATCTTACTCTCTCTAAATAGAGAGAGAAACTCAATCCTCTCTATAGCTCTCTTCTCTCTTTAAACAAAACGATAAACACCCCTCTGTATCCCTCAATCTTTCTCTCTCTAAAAAGAAAGAAGAATCTCTTTTTCTCTAAAAATAACGCAATCTATATATCGAAAAAAAATATAAAAATTCATGTCGCTTGGAATCTTGTCTTGTTGTTGTCTGCTTCGTCAAAAGTTTCACGCAAGTAGATATAAAACTACAACTCAACAAAAAAACACTTTAAATCTTGTAAGTTGTGTATTTGATGCAGCGAGTGAAGCCCAGTACACATTTTTCTTAGTGTGACGGTAGGAAGCTCGTTAATGACGCTAGCAACATGATGGGTGAATCACAAAACCCGTTAGCAATGCATTTGGCATGGCAAGGGGAGCCACGTATCTTTTTTATTTTAAATGGTTACAACACCCAGCTTTTACATCCAAAAAAAAAAGTTCCAGAAAAAGGGAGGAAGATGGAATAGGAAAGAAAAATTGCCTCAGCCTTTGTGAACAATTCAAACTTCTAATTACCTTTCCATTTTATAATACTTGTAGAACATTGAAAAAGGGAAGCTTCATTCCTTTTTGACATTAACTAGGAGTAACAATCTTTTTTTACTTCCGAGTCTTCTAACTAGTCTCCTGCTAATTTTTTACCATCCATACAGAACTCAACAGAAATCTTCTAATGATTAAGACTCGATAATTGAAGTCAAATAAAGATCATGCAGTTAATCTCAACATAATAAGCTCAAAAAATAATAAAAAAACTATAAATGCAAGTTTCGGTTGTAAATTTTGTTCTACACATCATAATCAAAGCAAAACAGTGCCATATAATTAATATATTCAGAATTGAAGACAATTTGTGCGAGGCCTCAAGGCATGCTTCTGAAGTGTACACGTTAAGGCTTACCAGGATGCTGGCCTAGACTTAAGATATGTTGAATAAGATCTAGGATCTGAAGCGCGGTGTCTAGTTTCATCATCACTTTCAGACCCAACATTTACCTCTGCATGGATAAGCAGAGGCCTTTTATACTTAGCTAAAGTATGCAATCCTTCCTGCAACAATAATCCCAAGGTGTAAATAAAGGTATTTCATCGAATCATAGAGGCAATTTTTTGAAGGTAGACGTGCAATTCCATTTGAACAAACAAGTGATTAATATACAATAAATTAACATGTCTTAATGATGAAATTTTTGTTGTTTTTATATATAAGAACTTTGTCCAGCATGGTGTATGGAGAACTCATAAGAAAGCAAGTTAATGTTTTATTGCTAGTAAGTGGAAACGGTCTTGTATAATCAAGCAAACTCAACACATGCTAGAAGATAATAGTAATACCCTGTTCTTAGCATTATAGACTTGTAATTAGTTAAAAGAGAATAAAAAGATGAAGAAATGAAGTGCAAAAGAGATGTATCAACATCATGATTGGAGCTAATGTTAGACAATGTAATATTTAGAAAATTTTGGAACAAAAAAGTAATGTAAAAAAATCCTAAATTTTTTATTCCCCATTTTTCACACCTCTTAAAATGGATAAATAATATTATTATAAAATCATATATATATAGAAAATTATTAATGTGTTAACTTGTATAAATTAATTAATCTAAGTCGCATCTTAATATTACTATTCATGAGATTATTGTGCTGTAGCTTCCAAGGGAATTTCAGCTATTCTACTAATCTAGGCACGCATCGCCTGATACTGATAGTTTAACGATTTATGATAATCCCTTAGCATTCCTTATTCATGGATATCCTGTAACCTTGCTGATAGCGGAAGCTGGAATTTGGGTAGCCAAATGACAAAAACAGAAAGAAGAGAGGATGAAGGGGATTTCAGAAGAAGAAAATGGAAGAAAGTAGAAGAAGAAGAAAATAAAGAGGAGAAAGAAGAGAGGAGAAGAGGAAGAAAGAGAAGGAAAGAAGAGGAGGAAATTGAGATTTTGATGTTAAAGTTTAATTTTTTTATATTTTTCTTCTGCAAATCAATTTTGAACCAAAGTTGGTTTTTGTATTAGTGAACTAGTGATTATTTTGATATTATCTTGATGCAAACTTGAACCGTGCATTAAGAAAATTTTATAAATTGAGAATTTACACTTCGTAGATAGTGACTTAAAGAATGAGGCTTCAAAGTCATCGTAATGAGGGTGTTCGCCTATGATTCATCGTCAATTAGGTAAGATATTCAATTGTAATTCAAAAAGAGTTCATTTAAAACAATTGAGCATAAATTGGATAATTTAGATTTGCACAAAAGTTGTATCTCCTTATATTAAACTACAAAGCCAACTGCAAGAAAGTGCACAGCAGTATAAAGAAGCCCAAGAATGTTATAGCCGGATCAAGGAAAAGACAATTGAGTTGCACAAAGCCCACATCAGGTCTCCGTCGTCCATATTTTCATTGACACCTTACTTCTTACCAGAGAGCAGTGACCTTGATGTGGACATCGATCAGAGGTTCAAGCATGTGTATCGCCGAAGACAGCGCAGATCGACGGCTACGATTCAGAGCCTTTACTTTTTATGTATTTCATGTTTTATTTAGTTTGCATTTCCATTTCCTAATTTACCCCTATGGGGAGTGTTGTCTTATTGTAGCTCGAAGGGCATTTGAGTACTTTTCATTTCTTTATGTTAAAAGACCTATATATAGTGGTCTCATGCTTTGTAATAGGGTAATGAATATTTGAATGAAAATTGTTTTGTTTCTACTTCTTCTTCTTGCATGACAGCTTGAGAAGGGAGAGAGCTCAAGGGGAGCAATTCGCAAGGCCCACCAGTCGTTAGAAGAGTCCGCGGCTCGTGGTTAAATCCTTCTATCTTCTCGTTCGTGTTTTCCTCCATCTCTCCACTACAAGAAATCTCTCCTCAATCCCCATTGCCGCCGCCCCTTGGGAACCCACCGCCGACCACCACCACAACCCCGGCCAGCCACCTTGCCGGCAACTTCCCCTCAACCACCCAACCCCTTCCCTACACAATTTTCAAATTTGAAATTTGAAAATTTCAAATTTCGAATTCTTTCCTAATTTGAAACTCCAATTTAGGAAAGTTTTCATGATGGAATTCAATTTCAATTTGATTTAGATTGGAGTTATGAAACCTATTGCCACGTCATCATCCTAAATTGGAAGCCCTTTTCCCTTGAATTCTCCTCTCTCCCTCTATGCATGCCGCTGGCCCCCCATAGAGAAATTCCCCATTAATTGCTTGTTTAATGCCTTGACCGTTTTGAAATCATAATTTGATTTCAAAGATTTTTCCCTGCTAAATTACTGAAAACTGAAATTAACTTTCAGTTTTAATAATTTTAAACCTCCTCCTTCCCTCTAAGAGCCGCCGGCCACCCTCCTTGATGAGCCCCATTAATTGCTCATTAATTCCCTTCATTACATTTAAAATTTGAAATTCTTTTCAAATAATCCCTCCAAATTTACTAAATCCTGATATTAACTTTAGATTTTAGTAAATCTCTTGCTACATTCACTCAACCTAAATCCCTTCACACAAAACACCCGCCCCTCTCCCCACCGTGGCCGAACTCCCCCTTCCCCTTGGAAATCCCGCCGGCTCCTCTCTCCTCCTCCTCCTCCTTCCAACGCAAGGACTCTCCCACACCGCCATTTAATACTCTTCTTCTTGAAGGATTCTCCAACGACAAGCATGTATAGCGGACCCGGAGTTTGAGTGGGGATTAGTGTTTAACGCCGACGGAAGCATTAATATCCTACGATCCCCATTCTTTGATGTGGGATTTGAAGACGACTCTACCATTGAAGAGTATTTGGAACGAGTTGAGCTGGTTCTTGCGGACGTCATCGACCGCCGAAGTCCAAGCTACGATTGGAGCATCAACAGTCGGTCGCTCCCGCCATCCTCGCCACCGTCAACCTTTCCGTGGTTCAAGGCCGTTGGATTTGCTACCGTCTTCGTGGCATCGTTAGGTTTGCTAAAGACCGTCTCCCGCTAAGCCCTACTTGAGTGTGAGTGAGCAAGGTAACTCATTGTGAAATTTCTAAATATTAGCCATGGGATTCTATTTTACTCCGCATTTGCTTCATTGTGATAATTTCAAGATCTATTGTTAATTGTGCCTAAACAACCAGTTGTAACTGCTTATCATAACATTTCAATAACGAAAAATTCTTGAGCCTTAACCTACGATACTCTAATCTTACATTAGTATACTTTGTGATTCTTAACAAATTTCACGTGCAATTCTTGAATGTATCACATCAGATCTACTGAAGAATTATGGATTTCTTGCAGGTGATGTGGCTGTCCAACTGGTTCAGCCCTTCAGGCTCTCAGTCTAGCCTCAAAATAGGAGGAGAGCATGCAGTCTAAGTTTCCACCAGCACTTCCCCACAACCTCTTCATCCAGACACCAGTGGGGGTTGTTTACCGTCAATTTGGAAGGGACAAGAACTGCCAGCCAAGAAATTCATAAAGAACTCCCTAAGGGTACAGGAGCATATTGTTTCTTCAGTCATTGTAATTCTGTTTTTTTTTTTCTCTCTCTCTCTTCATTTCTTTCAAACTCTGATTAACCATTTGGTTTAAAGAATTTAATCAATTGGTTTTGCAGACTTCTTGTAGGATTTGCAAATTAGGAATTTGAGGGCTTTCTTTTTAACTATGTATGTTAGTCATTCTTTATTCTTTTTTCCTTAGTGTCAAAAATAATCAACTTTCACCTAGAATTTATTTATTTATTATAATTGATAGTTCAATTATTTTTTAGATCATAAATATTAACATCCAAAGATTTATTTGTCTTCCCAAGGGTTATTTGCTAATAATACTCATCCTAGAGAGAATATGTTCTCACACTATACAAAAAAAGTTATTTGTATTCACTATATTTATTTAACAACATATTTGTTGCTTTACATATACCATATTCCGGCGGGTCCTTGAGATTGAAAAAATCCTATAAGGGCCTTTAATTTGGGATTTATTATTCTTTTTGTTATTTTCATTGATTTAACTTACTACAAATGTGTGGTCATTCAGTGTAATTACATAATGAGTTCTTGATGATTAAAAGCTAAATTTATGCTTGGAAGTAAACTCCTTTACATTATTCCAGGTGTGAGGTTTGAATGGCGACCAGTGGAATCGTCACTCATCAATTTATTTCGTATTCTTTTCCGATTTCTTCGTTGTTTTTTTTCGAATCTATTCATTTTTCTCCATGCACGCTGATGAATTGGTTGGTAACTTTCTACTTATATAACAGTGTTTTTTGTTTGGGTATGGGACTAACTTTCTCTTTTGTTATGATCAACAACATTGAAGTTTATTTGTTCTTAAGAAACAAGTAATCTTATCTTCTATACCATTTTTTTGGTAGTTTATTTAAAAATTTTTTAATCTTCCCCCACAATCATCATCCTTTAAAAAATATAAACAAGAAGAAGATTTTCAATCCATATGATTACAAATTATACATCAAATTTTTTTATATATAAAAAATGTAATTTTTAAAATAATAATTATAATATATATTTTATTTGCTTCAACCATAATTTAATTATTTTTAAATCATAGCAATCAACAATGTGCATTTACACGTGCAATTAAACTAACAGTCTTATGGTGACAACTTGATATCACAAAACATTCTCGTGATTAAGTAAACATTTCACAGGTTTGGACAAGGTACTGGCCTACTGGGTGCCTGGATGGAATGCCACTGAGAGAAGGAACCTGCAAACATTACATGCCGTGTGGAGTCTAGAGATTTTAGATCATAAGTGAATTGTTGAAACTACAACTAAATTCTTTTGCACATTTAATTTTGGTTTAAGGTTTTATTTGAGACAACTTCATTACTGTTTTTTAAGGCAGCTTTCTAGTAGAAAATTTTCTAGTTCAAGAAATTTTCATACTAAAAAGTTGTTTTAGAAAGCAATAAGAAAGCTGTCACAAATGAAACCTAAATTGTATTTACATGAATATTGACTTGGTTACATGCTAGTTGTCATTTTTAAATTATGATCAGGTTTCAGAATATCCCAAAAAGATTTGTTCCAAGGTAACATTTGGAAAATGTCCAGATGAGATAATCAAGGCCAGCAAGAACATTGGCCACATGCAGTACCCAAAGATGTAGCTAACAATTGGGATGCCAAAAGCATCAATAAGCAGATATATTATAACCTTCTGGTTGTAAAATAAACAATGATTAAAAGAAAGAAATACGCAGTAACACACATTAACCGACTTAAAAGATACTATAGGAATAAAAAAAACTCAATTTTGACCTGATGATCAAGAGATTAATATCATTACTTTTGGGAAATTAAGTGAATAACAGAAATGTATGGATTTAAACAAATTAAATAACAAAATATGAATCTGAACGCACCTTGATATGGGTTATGTTTGTCATTGGAAAATCATTTATTCCAGAAGGCAACATAAATGACTACGTAACAAAGAAAAGAAATTGTCAGAAACAGCATAAATCTTCAGTTCTAATTGATATATCAAACAATCATGCTCATAAGCGAACTTTAACAATTATTTTCAGGTATCAATTACAAGGAAAATGCAGTAAAGTTGAATAAGTACATACGGTTTATCATACAGTACAAAAATTATTTAACGCCATTGATTTGAAGGAGATAGGCCAAATGATTGAACAAATTCATAGAGCCTTCGGTTCCCTTTCTTTTGTGTTTGTTGGAGGGGGCAGGGAAAAGGAGCTATTATAAAGAAGCAGTAATCAAGTGCAGTTTAAAAAGCACGTTCATCAACTGCAGTATGAGGGCAAAAATTTTGGGTGGTGTCTTATCTCTAATTGAAAGAATTCTCTTGTCACCGAGAGGAATAATTAACCATAAGAGCTTGTGTTTATATGAAACCTAAACCATGATATCAAAGTCCTCGCAAATGAGGGCAAAATCTTTGGATGGCGTCTTATCTCTAACCAATCCACTGCAAAATTTGGTCCGGAACATGATATGTTGAAACTCTCCTTGAATCATATGGAGAGGCTTGAGAGAAAAATTTTCAGATCCCACAATTTTAACAATAATTCTTGTAATCAGATCCACAGCACATGCACAAGAGGACTTAATGCATACAAGAACAAACTTAAAATACAAAGTAATGAGTGCTCTCTAGTATTCATGTGAACAACTATCACATTAGACATTTATACATCTCAAACAATTGCAATCACACGAATCATTTCCAAACAAAATGAAATGATCAAAACTATTGCACACCATGGGTATGCAAGAATCCTAAATGGCACGCAAGTTAATTATTGAAAAAAGGGAAGCTAGTGCGCATCTCGTGAACCAATTACACACCCCATAAACAAACTATGCACTCGTGAATGAAAAATTTTCAAATGAGACAAAGCAGTGCGCTTTTGCGCATCACAAGTCACACAACCATTTTGACAATATGTGTAGAACATATTAATCATTGAAAGGAATCCTACCCATGCATTCCCTAAATATATAGTGCACATATACTAAAGCGTCCAAGAGTATTGTGCAAGTACTGTAAAATCCAAAAACGACGACTGTAGGTGTTGCACGCATCTTGATGCATCACGATGAAATTTAAGTGAAAATTTAATGTCATCGAAAATCGACGAAATAAATTTTATAAAATTCTACGCAAAATTTCAAGCAATTTGATATAAAGAACGTATAGCAAATTTTTCTTAAATTTGAAATTAAAAATCATAAAAAATTCATAATATTTAAACTACCCTTAATAAGTATTAAAGCCGAGATAGTTTAAGTAAGGGCACATAGGTAATTTGACTATTCCTAAACATTTCTTCCGCTTGTTTTGTTCGGCCGAACCGAAGGGGAGCATGAGACGGAGAGAGGGAGGCGGACGGGAGGACTCGGGCGGCACCTCCGGCGGCGGTTTCCGGCGAAGGAATTTGGGGAAATCGTAGAGGAGACTAAGAGGAAGAAGAAGGTATGTTTAATTTAAGCATTTCTCCATCTCTTGCAAAGTTTTTCTAAAAGAAAAATTTTAGGGTTTCTCCAAAAATTATTGTTCTTTCAAAATCTCTTCACGAAATCAGTAGGGAATGATAGGGAGGATGTTTTAAAAGTAAAAACAAAGTTTTCCCCAAAAAAATTCGAAATTGAAAAATTATGGTTTCACGTACTTTCGGATTTTTAAGAAAATTCTTTTACGATTATTGTTAATAATGGCATTAGGAGGAGTTTTAATGGTGAAAATTTAGGTTTTAACAAAAAATTTAATTTTCATAATTTTTAAATTTAATAAATCCGAAATTTAATTAATCTAATTATTAATTAGATTTAGGAGGATGTTTGGCAAGATGATTTGATGAAATTAATGAATTTAGGATTTTTAATAAATACGAAAATTTTAATTAATTTTTTTTAATTAGGAAATTATTTAATTCCGAAAATAGAAATTAAATTAATCTTTTAATGAAAATATGTTATGATTAAGGTTAGGTAACAATGTTTGCTTTTATACTTAGGTGTTGACTAAAAGGACGCCTCGAGCTTAAGCGACGTCGTACGTCGTAGAGATTGCTTTATGATACTTGCAAGGTAGGTATTTGCATTTAAATTAAGTTAATATTGCACTTTCAAATGTTATGGTTATTGATGAAATTTTCACATGATAATGTTTATAAGTTTTTTAATTGCTTTATTTTTACATTTATGTTTATATTCATGTCATGAAATTAGGAATGTTAATCTTGGTAAAACAAAATTCAAGGCATAACTGGTATTGAATTATACATGAAGACTTTTAAAAAACATATGATTTTCTGAATAATTTAGTCTCTATGATGTATATATATTATAATTTGCATGTGCATGATGATCCGGAGTACCAAATAGTAAAGAGGTTCTTCGGAGTCGATGGTAAAGGGGTTCTACAGAGCAAATAGTAAAGGGATTCTTCGGAGTCAAATGGTAAAGGAATGGCCAAAAACTTGACTGTGTACATGATCAGTACAAAACTCTGGTACTGCCGGGATTGGTACTTATTATTTATTATGTTTATATATTTTATATATTTTAAAGAAAGAGAAGTTTATGAACGTTTATGAAAAAGGAAAGGAAAAAAGTTTAAGGAAAATGATTCAAGAAAACTGTTTATGAAAATGTTTTATAAATTATGCCTATCAAATGTTTAATATAATCTTTTATTGTTTTAATTCATGTTTAATGACATGTTTAAAATTATTTTATGAATTTAAGATAAATGCTTATTGCCTGGTGAGCTAATGCTCACCCTACTTTTGGAAATATTTTAATTTTCAGGAGAAACTGATAGAAAGTGATGGCAAGATGACATTCTACCTACCGTCGTACAGGACCTCAGGATATCAAGTTTTTATATTTTTGTTATGATTTGAGTCAGTTGGTGTATTGAGGAGTCAGTTGATGTATTGTGTTTATGTTTTAAGTGGTTATATGTTTTGATGAATTTGTTGAAAATTTTTCAGTTTGGATGTTTAGTGGCTCTTTCTTCCGTTGTATGGATGATGTTTATGTTTATGTCATTTAAGAACTAAAACTTCTATGATTTGAATGTTATGTGTTCTCCGTACAATATTTTGTTCCCGCCCCGTTAATTCAGGCTAGTCAGGCCGGGTCGTGACAAGTACATATAAGAATATGCAATTGTATTGATAGTTATGCAAGCACACTGTGTAAGAGTAAGATTATGGAAGTATGCAAATGCATTGCATAACTGTATCAATAAACAAGAGCACTAATAAATATATAAGTGCGTTGCGTAAATGCATAGTAAAACATGCAAAAGCATTACACAAATGTAATATAAAACGTGCGCAATACATAGGACCATTGAAATCACTTTACTCGCATATGCTCCAACCAAATATATCCAACTCCTAAATTTGAGATATGAGAATAATGCACAACTTAAAATGGGATGGATTCATATTTACTTCACCTCACAATTCGTGCAAATATTTTGAAATAATGTAATTATTTTAGAAAATGCAAATTCTCTTTTAAACTTTGAGCGTAAATATATCAATATTATACACATGCTCTTACGTAGCCTACTCTATCTAAAGAGCAAAGTTGTAAGCCTTTATATTTCGAGTTTGATCCTCCTCCTTATAAGGACTAGAGTTGACAAGAATTGAATCTCATGGAAACATGTGCATTGAATATGACAAGCTTTAATAAAAAATCCTCTCTTGTTATTGGGGGAAAAATTAATCATAGAGGCTTGCACCTATGAGAAACCTAGAAATAGATTATAAAATCTTCACAAATTGAGTGTGAAATCTCTGAGTGGTGTAGTGTCTTCTCTCAAACCTAATATGCCTTTCAAAAATTTAACACGAAAAACACAGCTAAACTCTCTTAGCAAAGAGGCTGAGGTTTAAATTTTTGGAATCCACAACCATATTTGATTTAATCCAAACCAGCATTTAGCATGAATACATCCAGACATGGAGACGTGGTATCTGTTAGTGCACCCTTCCTTCTTTCCATCTTTCCCCCTCAGCCCACATTTTGTAGTTGCCAACTGATCATTTCCCACCCAAAACACCATTTCTAATCATCTATAATTTTGCACCACCTGCCCTTCAACAGCTCAACCACTCACTGCTCTTGCCACTCCACCTATGCAGCCAATTGCTGCCATAGATGTGGAGGATAGGAGATCAGAGAAGTTAAAGTTGAATATCATTAGAATATATCAAAATTCTTTAACCAGGATGGCATGTGTGCATAATTAGAAGATAGAGGTGGTATACTAGTAGTACTTAAGACTTGTAAATGATATTGCTAATTAGATTAGTTTATTATTGTGTGCCAGTCAAAAGGTTTACTTCCACTTAGGATGAAGTATCCCTACAAAAAGATTTTGATAAACCCGAACTATGCTTATGATGCAGCCTGGCTGCTCCGTAACAGAAGATAAAAGTTCAATGATTCAACTAATCGTTTACAATTAAGAAAGATTTGCAGATTTTACAGTGTAAAACATGCAAATTTTCTTATCCACAGAAAATTAGAGTTAGACTATGTGCATATCTGTAAATACTAAATCTCAGAATCTTCAGTTTTGTTTCAAAAAGCACCTTTAGCCCAAGTACTCCAGCACTTAAAAGACTATCCAAAGCAGTTGCATTTAAGGCATTCTCAGGTACAAGACCTCCCCAGAACCCTGGATATAAAAGCAATGCATATATAAGCTTTTGCAATGATGACAAGAAAAAAAATACTATGGCTTTTATGAGTATAAATTGCTCCTAGGAGACTACGCAAAGTATCACAGGTTATAAAATGAGAAAAAGAAACGGTAAACGCAATAGTTTAGTTCCAAGCATGTCCTTCATAAAATGATTTAAAATCAAGATATTGTAGGAATGTAATGATCATAGGTCGTGTAAAATTATGACTGAGTGGTAGCTTGAAAATTTCTCTTGAATTGTCTAATTTTTTACCATCCAACGTTTTTTTTCTAAAAAGTTCTAATCACAAATTAGACGAAACTAAGGAGAATAGCATAATGCTGGTCCTGCCGTTGTCATTAAGAGAAGAGTGTGGTTTCCAAAATCGATTCGTAAAAAAACAAAGAATTAGTAAGATCTCGAAGGGTGTCGAAACTCCACCCAACCTCAAGCCCCCATCTTTTGAAGTGCATGAAACTTGTAATAAAAGATAAGAGTAGGGAGTAAGCTTTGTTAGAGGAGAAGATTATTTTGATGTCTATTATTAATTAGAGAATCCACCAATTTAAGGAATAAATACAATACCCAGAGGTCCAACAGAATAAACATAATACAATAACAAAAATTAGGTCTCCTGAGAATATTTAAATGCCAACACTCATTTAAAGCTGAAGCATACATACACTTGGCTGGTGACAATAAGATGGATCAATTTATCAACCAACCTCTACATATGAGTGACATTCTAAGAAATTGATAATATTTTAAGCGTCAATGAGGATGTCAATATGTTTGCAATATACAAGACCAATTTCTTAAGAAGGTTAGATGCATATTCTCTGACAAAGAGAAACTCCTTTGTGGTAGATAAATTATATTCCTAGAAAATATTTGGAATGAGACAAAACTTGGATGAGAAAATAATTTTCTTGATTATATTTTACTTTAGTAACCCATTTCATGTCACTGCCTATATGTAGAATGTCATAAACGTGAACTAACAAGATAGCAGAGCCAAAATGAAGTGTGTTTGATCAGTAGTGCTATTGCCAATGCCAATCTCAACAATAATTTTACAAAGCTTATTAAACCACACCCAAAGGCTTTGCTTTAGCCCATATATAGTCAAGTTAAGCTAATAATATACTATTGTCTTCCTTGAGCAACATGCCCTCGAGTTCCTCTACATAAATAGCTTCAGTGAGATTAAATGCGGGAAAGCAACATTCATATCCCTTGCAACATTGGTGAACCTTGATTGATGTTGATAAACAAAAGAATTTGTACAAGTTAGGCTTGGTCAATCTCATAGACTTGATATAATCCCAACACCATAGATGATATACAATCGAGCCATCAAGTTGAAATTTCTTGATATAATCCCATCGCCATGAGATGGTTTAAGGCTAAGAGAAGGGGTAAACATATCCCATGTATGTCCATTTAAGAAGGCAATCATTTCAATACATAGTTTATTTCCATCCAAAATTTTATTATGACTCCTAGTATTTCTTAGGAATGGAAAATGATGACAACGATAAGTCAAATGATCAAAAATAGAAGAAAGATGGTCAAAGTACATATAAAAATGAATAGGATGATCAATGCATTGTTGTTTATCTTATTGAAAGGCAATAAGCACATGAAGATCAACTAATTCTCTACTAGGCAAATGGTCAGTTGAGTTGGACAATATGGATGAGGATGTTATTGCAAAAGGAACATGAGATTATCATGTGTAATATTATAGAGGTGGAGATAGAGATAAATGTTTTTGGAGGCAGAACCAAAAGAAGGTAGAAAGAAGAAAAGAAAAGACTTAATAAAAGGTAATGATTGTTGAAGTATATATGTGTACACCCATGACTACCTATGCAGGTGCCCATTCGCAGGTGTCTTATAGGTTACGTAAGGGTCGAGCAGAAGAAGTACTCTCTCCTCTCTCAGAATAGTCTGTTCGAGGGACTCGCACAGGAGCTACAAAGAAGATTAGCAATGGAGCAAGGCAGACCAGCTTCGACCATCACTTCCAGACAGTCGCCCTCCCCGACAAGAATAATCTCAGAAGTTCCTCTCTCAGTCAGTCAAATTTTTATCTCTCCTAGCCAATGTCAAGTCCCCCCATGCGAGAAATATCGACGATCAAGCTAACAACATCTACCTCCCCCAAAAGACATCCCGACTGCATCCAGGCGCTACTCATGCCTCTCACATCAATTGAGAGACCTCAGATCGATCTCATGCTATACGCCAGCCTAACCTTCTGACTGCTTCTAAACACTACTCATCCTCTCACCCCAACATAGCAATCTAAGATTAGCTCCTTGTTGATACCTACTTGATTTGCGAGTTCATCCTACTCGCATCTCTCTCGCAACAATCACCATTCCACTCAGCACGAACTATCGAGCTACATCGAAGACAGACGGAGCAGCTATTGTGTCTCGTTCATATCCACTGTAACTCATCAAGCCCCAAAAAGAAGGGGGCATCAAGAAGAAAGAAGAAAGGATGTCTACATCTCTCTGAGATAAATCTCTATTTTTTACTCTCATCTTTGAGGAGAAAGACGCACACTATTTTCCTTTGTTTAGCTTAAGCTCTGCGAGCCCTCGCATTCATTATTCTTGTACAGGACATCAAGAAGAAAGTAGAAGAAAAAAGAAGAAAGGGGGACAAGGACATCAAGAAGAAAGACGAAAGGATGTCTACATCTCTCTGAGATAAATCTCTTTTTTTTACTCTCATCTTTGAGGAAAAAGACACGCTATATTGTTTTCCCTTCTTTTAGCTTAAGCTCTTTAGCACAGAGCCCTCACATCCATTATTCTTATACATCTAACTGGGATAATAAAGCTTTTGCCTTAATCTACATCTACTTTCATTGTCTCCCACTTTTCCTCCTATATTTTGACTTCATCATCTCCACCCCTCAGGATCTTGGTCCACACAAGTAGCCCGTAGTACGGCTTGGATGCCCGGCATCATCCACCGGACAATCAGGATTCAACATCCTCTCAAATGTGATGAGCGTGAATGCAATGTTGAAGGCAAGAAAATCGTCGTCTTCCAGGCAACCCAAGACCCTGGAGGACACAATTAACCCCGAGTACACCACCTGCTGCGAATTTCAAGAAATGAAAGAGCGGCTTCCAAAGTCTATTCATGTCGCTCTCATCGCCGCTAGCAATCATTCGCCAACTACCAACACGCCTGAAGAAACGACCGACCTCGGTGCTAATCATGAGCTGTCAAAAAGAGCGCATGTTTCAAATTTTATCGCCGACCCTGCTCGCCTTCAGGCAAGCGAATGAAGATTCCAGCCCTCCAGTTAAACGGATCAGAGAAACTAAACCAGAATCGATTAATGCCTTTTCCTGGTCAATCTCTGAAGAAAGGGAACCTCCCAAGTTCAACATACCTCACCATGAAGCTTATAGAGAAAAGACCAATCCCACGGATCACTTGGAGACCATCGAGTTCATAACTTCCCTCCTCGACATCGATGACACCCTCCAATGCCATCTCTTCTTCAACACGCTCAAAGATTAGGCGTTAAGGTGGTTCACTTGCCAAGTTCAAGCGAATATTCATCGCACACTTCACTAGTGCCCAGAGACCCCCGAAGAGTTCACAGAGTTCACAAGTTCTACTAAAGATGAGATAAGAACCGGGCAAGTCTCTTAGAAGCTTCATACTAAGGTTCCAGAAAGAGATGCTTGACGTAAAAGAACTAGAACTTGCAGTCGCCTAAGCAACTCTGAACTAAGGGCTAAGGGAAGGTCCTTTTCGGAACGCACTTGGTCTGCAATAGTCGAAGATGCTGGCAGAACTATCGAAACTTTCCAACAATCATGTCAATGCCGAAGAATATAATCAAGTGACTGAATCATCCACAGTCGTACTACACTACAGGACTACTGTGAAGAGAAACCTCCTCCTATGGAGGGGAAAAGAGAGAGTCTAGTCCCGAAGAAGAAGGAACCAAGGGCCAAACTTCCAGTGCAACCAACGATGCCTTGACTCATACGAGGTACCTACTAGGCTGAGATCTTTAAGGATAGAGGTGCTGCCAACACAAAATGTAGAGGAAGCACACAAAGAGGTCGCTCACCGACCTCAGACGTACCAAACCTATACTCTGTTGAGGGTATCCATGGCCGAACTTGTAAACACCATGTCGAACAAAAAATTCTTCAGGCGTGCGCGAAATAAAAAGATTGGCAATGTCCAGGATACATTGAGGTACTATGATTTCCACAAAAATAATTGGCATGACACCGAAGAGTGTCGTCATTGGTGGAACTTGGTTGAAGAACTCATCACAGCAAGAAGACTTAAAGAATTTGTCCTCACCAATCTAGAGTGAAGACCAGGAAAAGCCCCCATAAGAAGAAAGTGCCCATGAGCCCAGACCTACTCAAGCAATTCATATCGCCGAAGTAGTACCCGCAATTATGGGTGATGATCAAAGGGACACCCCCATATGCGTAAAGAAATAACAAACTGAAGAAGTCAACTCTACATCATTCTCGCGACCCATCAAGGATACACCCATCACCTTTGGTGTCAAAGATGAGCCAGCCCGAGGGAACCGATACAATGAAGCCATTTTCGTCAAAGCCTTAACCGCCAACTATCAGATTGGTAGCATTCTGATAGATGTGGGGAGCTTAGTGTACATAATCTTTAAGATAGCCTTCGACATGATGGACATGCTTGCTTCATATCTTGCTCCTACTGCTGGACTATCTAGGAATTCTCTGGCAAATGAAGGGAGAGCGAAGGAGTAATCGCCCTACCTATCACTTGGGGCGAAGAAGATAGTCAATACACAAACATGACGAACATCATCATCGTCGATGCCCCAGCTACCTACAACGTCATATTCGGGAGGAAACTGTTGAATACCTTCAAAGCTATGGTATACACATACCACATCGCTGCTAATTTCTCAGCCAATGGAAAGAGGTTACAATAAAAGGCCACCTAGCCCAGTCACACACCTACTACCTACAAGCAGTCAATCAAGTCGAATCCCTCCATATAGACATAAAGCGAGGCCACATCCTTGAAACAATCAATACCATCGAAGAAATATCTACAGCAGAAAGTGAGCTAGGGAAATCTCTCAAAATTAGCAGCTCCTGCAGCTAGGAGCATCGAGAAGACTCGGTACGAACCCTCCACAACAATCTTGAAGTGTTCTCATGGACAATCGCAAACATGTCGGGCATCAGTACAGAAATCATATGCAACCGACTAAATGTACGAAGAGACTCATCCTATCAAGCAGAAGATCAATAAAATTGTCACCTTACTTTGGGCCCATCAGAGAAGAATTAGGAAATCTACTTGCCGCCAACATCAAAGGAGGTCCAATACCTAGAACGGATTTCCAACATAGTGATGGTTCAAACATCAACAAGCTTTGGGAAAATGTGCGTGGACTTCACCAATCTAAACTCAGCAAGCCCCAAGGATAGCTACCCGCTTCCAAGGATTGACGCCCTGGTCAACTCCACAGTGGCTTATCCAGTCATGAGTTTTCTAGACACCTTCTTTGGCTACCATCAGATCAAGCTGAGTTTAGATTATAAAAAAATTGCATTCATCACAGCGGAAGGTTTGTACTGCTACAAAGTCATGCCTTTCGAAATGAAAAAAAGCTAGAGCGACTTACCAAAGAAATGATGGATAAAATCTTCAAAGAATCAAAACAAAGAAATGTCAAAGTTTATGTGGACGACCTCCTAATCAAAAGTCGATATCCAGACCAACATATTAAGGATCTACAAGAAACATTCCTCATTCTCAATAAGTACAACATGAGGTTGAATCTTCCGAAATTCACCTTCAGAGCTGACGCAAAAAAATTCCTAGGGTTTCTTCTCACACCCGAAGGAATCAAAATCAATCTCAAAAAGGTACAAGCTATACTCTATATGAAGACGCACAACAACCAAGGAAGTGCAGTGACTCACCGGGTAAATAGCCGAGCTCAACCATTTCATCTCCCAGCTGGCAAAGAGATATGCTCCCCTTTTTTAAAAATTCTCATAAATGCGAAGAAATTCATTTGGGGAGAAGATTGTGAAACCACCTCCCAGCAACTAAAAATTCTTTTCATTTCACTGCCTCTTCGCTTCAAAGCCCTCGCCTGGGCAAAAACTTTCTATTATATCTTGGAGGCAAAAATGCCATCAGTTCCATGCTCGTTAGAGAAGAAGGGAAAAAATGTCCTATCTACTACATGAGTCATACACTTTAAGGCACGGAGCAAAGTTATTCCATCATGGAAGAGCTCATATTGGCGCTCATCAACTTAGCCAGAAACTATTACCTTACTTCAAGGCCCATTCCATTCAAGTGGTAACCAATCACCCTCTTAAGGCAATTTTCGCTAAGCACAACCACTCGAGTCCGTAAAACTCTACGAATCTATCACCTGCACGCCAAGGACAATTATCAAGGCTCAGACACTCGTTGATTTCCTCGTAGATTCCACCGACCAGGGTACAAACTTAGAAACAACAATGTTACCTCTTTGGACGTTGGATGTAGACAGTACCTCTAGCGAGCATAGAATTGGTGCAGATATTATTGTCAGAAGCCCCATAGGGGTCATCATTACTCAAGCCGTAAATTCGAATTGAAAGCCAACAACAACCAAGCCGAGTACAAAGCTTTACTTGCAAGCCTGCAATTTGCCTCCAAACTAGGTGTCACTTGCCTAGAAGTATACTCAGACTCTCAACTCATGGTAAACCAGATCAATGGCGTATAAAAAGTCAAAGATGAATTATTCTCTCAATATTTGTTCAAAGTTAAAACAGAAATCGACCAATTTGAATACTTCTAAATTACTCAAATTCCCAGGAGTCAAAATCAACTCGCCGACCTCCAGGAGTCAGAAAGGAAGCATTGACGTTCATTGATCATATAGATCTCAAAGCCCGACATCTTAGAAGAGGAGGTGATACAAGCAAAAAAAAATCCTCCAGCTCTACATCTAGTTAGCTAGATGGACCCTTACATCGAGTATCTGAAAAATGGGTCAATCGACGCTAAGGTCAGCAACCCCTGAGGATTCAGGATTAAAGTAGCAAACTATCTGAATAAATTACACTTGACCATACAAAAGATGCATACAATGTCAAAAATTCTCCACAATGCAGCTACAATCTTCTCATAAGTTACACTTGATCACAAACCCCTAGCCATTCGTCATATGGGGGATGGAACTGCTATACCCATTTTCGTCATCAAAAAGACAGAGAAAATTCATCCTAGTCATGATCGTCTACTTCACTAAATGGATTGAAGCCCAAAAACTCATCTGCATAACCTCTGACATAGTTTGGAACTTCATTGGGACCGATATCATCTGCTAATAAGGAGTTCCTTCCATAATCATTATAGATAACAAATCACAGTTCATTGACCAAAGCCTCAAAGAATTATGTAGTTGTCGGGGCATTTTCCTCAAGTTTGCTTCCATTCACTATGCTCAAACCAATGGGCAAGTTCGAAGCTGCTAACAAACTTATACTTATCCTACTCAAGAAGAAGGTTGAAGGCAAAGGAAAATGGATAGAACTCCTCCCTTCAGTTCTATGAGCACTCAGAACAACACCATCAATGGCCACAAGGCACACACCCTTTTCTCTCTCACACGGCATTGAGATCGTGCTTCCAATAGAGCTCAAACTGCCAAGCCTATGGATGATAGCAACAGCCTAAAACCTAGGCAACAAATCCAACGAATGGGAAATATCCAATCAAGAAGAACTACAAATAGTTATCGACTTATTAAAAGAACAAAGAGTGCAAGCCACACTCCAACAAGAAGAAATAAAGTGAAGAACAACCAGATACTACAATCTGCACGTCAAAGAGAAGAGCTTCCAACCTGAAAACCTTGTCCTAAAGAAAGTATACACAGCCGCTCGTTACTCCATGCTCGACAAACTTGCAAGTACTTGGGAAAGTCCCTATATTAAAAGACAAGCCAGACCAAGAGCCTATCAATTGCACTCACAATGAGACAAAAATAACCAGGACCTAGAGCGCCGACAACCTCAAGTTATTTTACCCATGAAGGAAGCATATGTCTTAACTTACTGCAAGTTTTATTTCTCTTTTCTTTGATATGAACTGTCTTTCTATTCACGAAAATATCTTGAATAAAATATCAAGGACACCCACTCACGAAAGATATATCTTCAAGATGCTCGGGGAACTTGGGACGTGGAGCTCGAACCCTAGGCCATATAATGAGAGCTCCTCATTAGACATTTTCTTAAGCGAAGCCTGTCCAACCCTAGCCTCTCGACTATAGTCTCATGACTACACAACAACCAAACACGATCACCCAAGTGTTAAACTAATGCCACAAAAGCATACCACTTCTATCAATGTAACGTACAACATCATGATGCAAATGACATTATTAATCATTGTTACGATGGTAATATGAAAAAATAGAATTAAGAAACCAACATTCACAATGTTTTATGATCATGAGAACAAGAAGCTACCAATAAAATTAAGAAATGTCAGAAATTATATGTTATGAATATGGCATAACAATTTTTCTACAACTATTTCACTTTAAATAGCAGCAAATGATTGGAAAATTAACCTTATGGATTTTTAAATATAGATGCACGTGTGATTGGTTTTCATTCATGACAAGATGCATGAAATAGCTCACCTACATCAACATAGATTTTCTCCTTAGCTGCCTTGACCTGTAATATCAAATAAAGCACAGTTATCAGTCAAGTATAACACATACAAATTAAAAGAAATGGTTATTTATGGAATTGAACCTTAAGGTTCAGCGCTTCCACGGATACAGTGCAAGGAATACTGTTAAGAGGCATGTCAATTACGGTTGTTACACCACCTGAAAGCCACCAGAATGATCTCCATCTTAATTTATTCAATCATGGACAAGATATTGAAATGATACTCGATCACAAATAAGTAACGCTTGTATTTCGGTGATAAATAATATTGATATAACAAAATAACCAGGAAAAGGGTAACAAAATGGAATGAAAAATCAAAACCAAATGCAAATATGATTTTGCAAAGTTCTTACAATAAAATCTCAATGATGTTGGACTTCTATTGTGGATTGCAATTCATTATTACAAATTTCCGACAAATAATTGTAAATGTACCATATTGACAAGATTGTTCCAGATATGTGTCACCCAAAAAAACAATATAGCAAAAAAGACTATCTGATACTTTTCCTACTTTCTCTAATTTTAGAATATCCGCTCACTGATTTTGCACAATAAAGTAATGATCAGATTTATAATAAAAGAAGGAAATATAGAAAAAAAATTATTAACTAATGCCTTTAAGGCTTTAACAGTCATTAACAAAATTACAACAATCCTGCATGATCGTACAGGCACAGACTAATTGAGATTAAATGATCGGTCAAATTTCAGATCAGATTTGTGAATAGTAAACTATGAGATTTTACTCATGTAAATGTTTGAACAATCAACATAAGATTATATCCTTCTGCTTGATTGTAGTAATTGCCAGGCATCAAATAGGAAACAAACGTAGACTTTTCTCCAAAGACATAAGAATTTGTAGTATGAAACGATATGAAACTTCTCAACTCTATTCAAAACATTAAATAGTCCTACAAAAATTAGACCAAGCTCCATATGCATAAGTTTTAGTTTGCCAATTCATATCAAATTTTATTACAATACTACAACATGAATCATTCCCAGCACAAAAAAATTCAACTTTTCAGAACAGAACGGTAAAGTTAAGTTCCCAAAAGGTAGCTCTACACAAATGTAATCCAAATGACGTTCAATAAAAAATTAACTATGTTACAGAACATCAAAGTTTATTTGAAATTTATTCTGTCCATAGATCTACAAACAAGAAAAGACAAATGGCAATGAAGTATCCAAAAGTTACCAGCAGCTGCTGCTTTCGTCCCCGCAGAAAATCCTTCCCACTCAGTCCTTCCAGGTTCATCAAGATGAACATGTCTATAAACAAGAAAATATGCAGAGAACATAAATTAACTTTCCAAGTCATCATGTTAATTGAATTGAAAATTACTGCATTAAAAAACCCAACAACAAGAGAGGAGAAGTTTGCCAAACATCAAAAAAATCCTTTTAGGTTATGATATTGTCATGTTTGATATATTGAGGAGAAAAACGATAACGTTACATCCTTTTTTCTCATTTTGAGATTACCAGGCTCCTCAACATAACCCACCCAAATATGGTGTCAAATCAAATAATAAGTACCATTGTTTAAAATTTCTGAATCTAAATTTATCTGTTACGTAAATTTTATTTACAGTAAATAGAGCGATATAAAGCATTCTATGATCAGGTATTTTGAACATTAAAACAGCAAATAAATACATACAAGGCTAAGCGTTAAGAATAAAAAAGCTTACATATCAACTAATCCAGGCATTACAACAGCATTTCCAAAGTCCACAACATGCTTCCCAAGAAACTGGCCGGCCTCAAAATCATCGCTAACCACCGAGGCGATTCTCCCACTCTTCACCTCAACTGGAAGTTCCAGATTTACATATAACAAAGACCAAACAAAAAAGCACATGTAAGACAAGTCGGAATAGTTGCAGAAAGGAACTTTTTTCTGCTATGTAAAGCAAAGCAAACGATGACATCAACAGGAAGAAAAAAAAACTACAAAACAGTAACAATCCATCCTGCATATCAAAATCTCTCATCTTTGCAAAAAAGCTATTAACTTTTCAACAAACCTGCGCCAGAAAAGACTCCTTCGGAAGTGACAATACGATTGCTGCGTATCCAGTATTCATCATATGGCAGAAGGCTGCAACCGCTATCCGTTTGCTACAAAAGAGAGACATATAAACAATTATTCTTCTTCGATAACAATAAGGAATCGTAGGAAGGAATCACAGGAAAAAAAAGAAAAAGAAAAAGAAAGAGCAAAGTGAGGTTTCGAGACATGAAGTCAATGTCAGTGGATTACCTGACTTTGATATAAAAAGGACAAAGAGGGAAAGGAGAAATTGAGAAGCTGCTGCACCGAAACCTTGTGAGAGGCTTTCAAGCAGAGAATGATGGAGGCGAAAAGAAAAAGCAGGGGAACAATTCTCCGCATGAGAATGTCCATTCTTCTCGCCTCTCGCCTCTCGCCTCTCACCTCTCTTCTCTTCTTTGCCTGCGGGAAAGGCAAACCGTGCAAAATCTTATATAGCACAAAATTCTTTAAATATTATCTATTTAACATTTAAATTTTTATATTTATTTATATAACATCAAATTTTATATCATATTAAAAACAATATTAATTTACAATTTTAATAATTATAAATATTTAATATTTGAATAAAAATATTTAAATATTATATATCTCATTCTTTCACTTTAATAATATAAAAAATATGTATTCTAATAAATACTTAAGAAATTTAAAAAAATATGTGGACCTCAAATACACTCTGTGGGTGGAACCATAAAGAGCTCAAGATGGATAATTGTCCATCCTGGAATTTTTTTTTCTTAAAAGAATAAATTTTTAATTATTTTATCCATATTCAATAAATGAAGTTGTCCAAATTAAAAAATATATATATTTTTTATATATAATTATATATTTTATAATTTTATTTTACTCATCCTAAAAAAATGACTATATATAAAGAAATGAACAGAGATAATCCCATCCACATCAAAGCATCATCTCGTCCACATCAAAGCTAATTAAATCAAAATGGTAAGACTTATATGTATTAGTAAATGGTGTAAAGTGAGCGAATGACCTACAACACGAGTTTTTCACACGCACACATTTTTTTATATATGTAAGTGATATATCACAAAAAATTATCTTGATCGGGCACAATATATCGAATTTTTATTGCCTTAGGTTACCTGACGTAGAGATACATCAGGTAGCCTATACTATATCGCCACGTGCTCTTACTCTTTACCGCGCGGCCCGACGACCCAACCCGGAACGAATCCAGGATTATTATGTTCGCGTATTGCTCGGTATTGCTAGGTACTACTCGTTATTTGCTCGGTATTTCCTCGGTACTTGCTCGGTAATGCTCGGTATTTGCTCGGTAATGCTCGGTATTTACCCGCCTGGACGCTCGGTACGAGGAGGTTCGTCCCGACACAGAGAGTGAGAGAGAGAGCGACGGAGAGGAAGTGGTTCCGTGCGGTCTTTCCAGCCAAAGGAGAGAGCGGAGTTCTTCCGAGCAACAAGGAATTGAAGCCCGATCGGAGTTCTTTCTAGCCGGTCAGCTTTGCCTGTACCGAGAAAAGAGAGCCGAGCGGATTCTTTCCAGCCGGTCGGCTTTGCCTGTGTTCGTCCAGCCCGAGCAACAAGGAAGCCCGATCGGGCCTCCCGTGTCCTTGAAATCTGGGAAAGAAAGAGCCGCAACTGCGGCTCTACCACTGTCGCACGACCCAGGTGGAGCGAGGGACCCCTCTAGCGCCCTCTTGCTTCAATTTCTGACGTCCGTCCAACCATAACAGAGGGAGGAAGAAGCATTACCGAGCAAATACCGAGCATTACCGAGCAAATACCGAGCATTACCGAGCAAATACCGGAACTGGGCTGCCATTTCTTCCTTTTTCGAGAAAGTACCGAGTAGTACCGAGCGAATACTGCGCATATTTGTTTCAGGTTGGGTCGTCGGGCCGCGCGGTAAAAAGTAAGAGCACGTGGCGATATTTTATAGGCTACTTGATGTATCTCTACGTCAGGTAACCTGAGGCAATAAAAATTCCAATATATCACCAAAAAACTATCTTGATGGGGCACAAATCTCGAGGCAAAAGCAAATTGAAACCTTTCAAAATTAAATCTAGAACCATTCAAATTCTGATGTCAGCAAACTTATAGTCGAGCTGAACGTTTCAAAAATACGAACCCAATGCCATCAAATTCAACTCAATCCGAGCTCAAATGGGTCCAAATCAAAGACCCGAAGCGCTTCTGGAAGGTTCAAACCATAATTTGGATTAAAAAATGAATTACAAACATGACATGCTTATAATCGAATCAAGTGGATCGACGGGAAGAATCCAACGAGCCCAAGAACGTCAAATTCCGATATCATTAAGGCATTCAAATGCCCAATAAACGGACTACGATCAAGAAGATCAACATCGGCCTTCCATTCAAACCATTCTTAACATGCCCTTGATCTCCCTTCTATTAATTGGTCATGCCACTCTTCGAAAACTATAAATAGACATCTCATTCCTCATGGAGAGGGGATGGAAGCAAGAAAGAGAATAAAGAGTGAAATTATAGCTGTCTTGCCACCAGACTCCTCCTCGACCACCATTGGACCATCGATTGTCGTCGGACAATCATCGGATTTTAGCCTAGCCACCGAATGACCCCTGACTTCTTTTCGGCCACCAATTGAAGCCGTACTTCCATCGACCGCTGACTACGGTCCTTCCGACCTCCGTCGACAAACTAAGGTTCTTCCAAACTCCTTCTCCAGACATCGGTCTTTATGACCACTATCACTAGCCGACTACAATCCTTCTAGCCTCTATCACCAGACTACGATCTTATCGACCTCCATCGCATGTCGATTACGATCCTTACGACCTCCATCGATAGATAACTGTTCTTCCGACTTCCATCACCAGGCAATGGTCTTTTTACCAGTATCGTCTGCAGAGTACGGTCATTCCGACCTTCATCTCCAAACAATGGTCTTTCTGACCATTGTCGTCCATCGACTACGGTCTTTCCGACCTCCGTCGCCAGACTACGGTCTTTCCAACCTTTGTTGCTCACCAACCCAAATAATTGTCTTTTCAACCTCCATCGCTCGCCGATTACGGTCCTTCCGACCATCGTCATTCGAATATGGTCTTTCCGACCTATGTTGCTCACTGACTATGGTTCTGCTTACCAAAAAAACTTGTCAATATTGATTCTTTCAATTTCCACCATGTAATGTACACTATATGTCTATATGATGTAAATTTACTACATTAAACCAAGGTCTTGTCCCTAAAGAAGGGTCTCATTTGTAATCGACTACAAACACTAGAATATAAATTCAAACTGGGTCAGGTACTGGGATTTTTCCTCTTTTTTTATGGGTTTCCATGTAAAAATTCTCTTGTCTCTTATGAACACTACACCCTCTCTTTTACTAATTATGTATTTGATATTCATACAAAGCTAAGACGTTAAACTTTATATTTCTCTATTGCTGCGAATATTCCAAGATGCAACAATAAGGATTCTTCATAAAATATTACACACTATTATGAGGATTTTTAATAGCATAATGTATATTATATAAAATGTTATGATATTTAATGTATAATATATTATTCAAAATACTAATAATAATAATAATAGTGTAATAATTGACGCTTCTCGAGAAAATTTATATGATTAGCATGAATTTCAAGTGTATGTTTGGATTGAAAATTTTCAAAATTAAATTCATGATCATTTGGACCATGATTTTAACAAATTTATAGTAGAATTAAATGTATTGACGAGGTGAATGAATTGACACAGGTGCTTTAGTATGACTCCAAATGAGCTCAAATCAAGCTTGCAAAATATATTTGAAAACTTATAACTTATAATTTAAGGGATAAAGCAGTCATCAATTCTTGCATGTTTATAATTAAATTGAGGAGCTCGATGAGACAAATCTAGCAAGCATACAATCACTTAATCATGAAATCATTAAAGGTATTAAAATGTTTGATAAATAATATACAATCAAAAGGATTAATATAGACAATATAATATAGTATTTGCTGACCAAATTTAACAATATTGCTTCTTTAAATTGTTATAAATAGAACTCAATTCTCTTCAACAATCATTGTCAATGATCACCTTCAGCAATCGTCATTATTATCTGACTTATTTTTTCTTGACTATTAATATCTAATCCTCTTGTTTTAATCTCCACCTTTGAGCACTCAATTTTCATTATCTATATAACATGAATCAAATAATTATTGTCAACTAAGCATAATCCTATCTCCTTCGGAAGGTTTATTGTATTTTTAATTCGTAGATTTGTTTAATTGAGCTAGGCCTCATAATTTTTCCCTTCTTCGATTTTTCACGTAAAAAAATTTTAGTCTCTTAAACACTTCTATTTTCATATGCTGAATACTTATACAAAATTAAAATATTATATATTATATAGCCATAAATTTTTAGCACATAATAATAATAATAATAATTTGACCCTTAAAAAGTAACATTCTAGTGAGTAGTGATATTATATTATATTATATATAGACATTTAAAATTTTATTAATTTTTTAAACAAAACATAAAAAAATAAGTTTAAAAAAAAAAGCTTCATATTAAAAGTTTTAACCTTCAATGCCAGATTTTTTAGGAAATAATGATTTTTTTTTAGTGAAATTGAAAAATAAAGGATTTTGTTGTCTAAAAATAAAAGATTTTGTTGTCTAACTGATCTCTTGCAATCCAATCCAATCCAATCCAATTCAATCCAATCAAATTATGACAGCTCATAAAAGAATAAAAACAAAAAAAAAATATTTCCCTGTATTCTCTCTCCATAATAACAACTATATCTCCCATTATTTCCTGCTATCAATAAAAAAATATATCCTGAACAGTGTAGGCCTCGTCTATGTTCATGAAAAATAGATAAGGTGGCCGAGCAGCTGTCTGATGCACATAAATTATATATACATAATATTATTCATGCAATTTATTAAAAAATCAGTTCTTCTTCAAGCTTTGTTTCCAATTATAAGTGGAGGATATGCAGCTCATCCTGATCTGTTTGTTAAAAGTTATTGAATTCAAATTTTGTATATGTGATATATGTTTGAGTTTAACTTAATTGATCTAAATAATAACAATAACAAGAATTTATCCTACTATGTTAGTCAATGTGGGGTCGACAACATGAATCTTTCTTCTCCATTGTGTCATGTTAAAGGTTTGGTCACATAAAATAACGGTCTTTCGATGACCCGGTTAGTAAAGTAGAGATATTAGATTTGACTTATGTTAAGAAAGGTAGAGGAAGACTTAAAAAGACTTGATTAAAAAATATTAGAAATGATTTTTCTTTATTAGATTTAAACAAGAATTCGGCTTTTAACATGACGCAATGGATAAAAAAGATTCATGTAGCAGACCCCACGTAGTGAGACAAGGGCTTGATATTGTTATTGTCTTATTAAGGATCAATTCTCATATAAATCTAATAAAGAAAGATCATTTCTAAATGTCCAAAAAAAAGTGAGCTGAGAATCAATATCATGGAATAATTATTCAGTGTTCTCATCAAGAAAATATGTACAAATAACTTTACAATGTGGCAGAATAATTTTCTCTTCGCATAAGTAGATAGGGATTAGGGAGGAATGCATTAAAGATATGTATATATGAGCTATTACTTGTGTTCAAACACAAGATGGTTTGACCAAGAATTTTTCTATTTCGGTTGGATTACATCAAGGATCAGCCTTAAGCCCATATCTTTTTGTTTTAGTCATGGATGTTCTCACTAGATATTTACAAGTGGATGTATCTTGTTGTATGTTTTTTGCTGATGATATTCTTCTTGTTGATAAGACTAGAGAGGGAGTTGAAGGTAAACTTGAATTGTGGAGATCAACCTTAGAGTCTAAAGATTTTCGCTTGAATATATCTAAAAATGAATATATTGAGTGTAATTTTTATAGTAATAGACATACTGAGGGGATTGTGACTTGGGCAATCAAGTCATTAATATGAGTACACGTTTTAGATATCTTAAATCTATTGTTAAGAGTGATGGTGAAATAGATAGAGATATTATTAGTAGAATTCAAGTTGGATGGTTGAAGTGGATGAATGCATCAAACTTGTGCGATAGAAACCCCCCCTCAAACTTAAGGGAAAATTCTATAAGATGGTGGTGAGACCTGGAATGCTTTATGGTGTTAAATGTTGGTCATTAAAAGAGAAGCATAATACTAAGTTAAGCGTTGTAGAGATGAGAATGCTTAGGTGGATGAGTGGCTTTACCCTTAGAGATACGATTCAAAAAGAGCATATAAGGTTGGAGTAGCTCCAATGAAATATAAGATTAAAAAGAGTCGTCTTAAATGATTTGGTCACATTAAACAGAGGCCTTCCGATGATCCGATTAGGAAAGTTGAGATATTATATTTGATTTATATTAAGAAAGATAGATGTAGACCTAAAAAAATTTGGTTACAAAATATTAGAAATGATCTTTCTTTATTAGATTTAAATAAGAATTTGACTTTTAACTTAACACAATGATGAAAAAAATTTCATATAGCCGACACTATGTAGTGGGACAAAGACTTGATGTTGTTTTTATTGTTGTATAAGTAAATACTATCTAATTGAACATATGCTGATTAAGCAAATACAAATTATCATCTTAGAGGAGAATATTCTCTAGCATTTTTTGATCTGGTGAATATTTTTTAGGGTTAAACCAAGCCTTGGATTTTTATTTTTACGAACTTATTTTTATTCCATCCCTGCCTCTCCACATGCTCCTTATCATCACTCCTTACAATGGTAAATCCTATCTGTCCTGCCTCTCCACATGCTCCTTATCAATCCTGCGAATAATGAGAAATTATTATGTGCGAAGTCCAGACATACCGGACGTACTGTTATGTCTGAACATACGAATGCACATATTGTATATATAATATGTATAAAAATACACTATACTTTTATACACAGTATACACTCACAATCCGAACATAACTTTACTTCCGGACTATACGAAACCACATTACCTGACGACATGACAAATTTCAATACAATTTATTAATCTTTATGAGAATAGCAAAATTTATTTAAATAAAGCATAGCACCACAACATAATAGAGTTGCACCAAAACAAGCGCTCCTCAAATCTTCCCCTAATTGATCGATTCAATAATAAATAACATACCATTATTATAACAAAATTTCCTTCACAAAACTTCTTTTCAACCTAAAAACATCAGCAGAAACATTCTCCAGACCTCAAAACATATTTTGATCTCTTCTGCTCCAATACTCTACAGAACCAGATAGGAGAGCAAGCCCAGATTTCACAGGACAAAAGATGGACTAGTTGTTAAGTCCAGTTGCTCCAGCAGAATTAGCAGGAGATTGTTCCAGCCTCACATTCTCAGATACTTTATCACCATCATCAGCACCTCCCTTATCGCTATCAATGAGATCTTTGTGGCTGGGAACGTGCATTTGCTGCTGGGATGCAATAATCCCGGCGATAGCTTTCATGGCCGATGCGGTTCGATCTGTGCTTATCATGGGTTCTTCAGCTGCACCAGATGCATTGGACTTGCCCTCGACCTCCTCTTCTTGTTGTGGCGGTGGCACAAAGAAGGGTATCTTCCCTCTTTGCCAATCATGAAGAACCATCTTTGCAACAGTATTCAGATCAGGTTCACCTCCCTGAAATTGAAGGGCAAAATGATTTGATTGTTGGAAAAAGAATAAATATAAAAAGATCTTAAAAACCTAAAGATCTGCCAAGAATAAATAGTCAATTAGTCCATTTTATAGTTGGTGGAGTATATACATGAAAAAGTTTGAGTAGCTCTAGAGGCTGATGAGATTAGAGAGTCACCTTATCAGATAGTTCGGTCGCATAAAATATCAGCCTTTTGATGAATCGATTAGGAGAGTACATATATTAGATTTGGTCTATGTTAAAAAAGATAAAGATAGATCTAAAAAGACTTTGTTAGAAAGTATTAGAAATGAACATTCTTTACTAGATTTAAATGAGAATTTCACTCTTAACAAGATTCAAGGAGAAAAAGGATTTATGTAGCCGACCCTGTGTAATGGAATAAAGGATTGATGTTGTTGTATTGAAATTTAAAGCTGAGCGTGATTATAAGCTAACAATCAATAAATCATCTGCCACTGATTTCTATATTTAGCATGTGAAAAGGATACATACAGATACTTTCAAACCAATTGAAGCCAATAACTAGGCTGAGACACACCTGATCCACATAACCAGAATGAATTTCAACTTTTCCATGGTTTCAGGACAGTTTATTCAAATCATGTTCCAACATTTCAAAACTAATTAAAATTTGTGTGTTTCTCTAGTTAAAAGAATCGCATTTAAAAAAAAAACAATTATACCTGGTTCATGCTATTTGTAAATGATACCTTTCAATTTGATCGAAAAAATTGAAGCACTTAATTTTAGAATGTATAAAACATACAAGATGCAAACCAGCAGCAGGATCAAATTCAATAGTTAAATGGGATTTTGTAGTTTGCGATGGAGGGAAAGAGAGGACATACGGATGGAATTAGCATAAATACGGAAGGAAAGACGGGCAAAGGTAAATAAACTCTTATGCACTTAAAAAGTTATTCAATTTGATTTAGAAAAATAATAATGCAGAATGGATTCTAATCTAAATGACTGGTGAAGGATTAAAAGAGATGAACAAATTGGAACAAAACTGACAATGCTAATAATGATGAAGATGGTGATATATTTTGATTGCAATCTCTTCCCCAACCTATAATCAAGGCATTAAAGACCTTCAGAACAAAATCAATCAAATTTGGGTATTAGAGTACACAAAAAAGAATAGGTCAACCACGAAAGACTCTTGCAAACTAAACAAATCAAACACAGAAGACCTACTAGTCCAAGCAAAAGAGAAAATAAATCCCTCACAACTGCTGCTGTAAAATTAAACTTTGTGTTTGATTTGGTAAAGGAAACAAATGTCATCTGCTAGTGCAATCAAGAGAAACTAAATTCCCTCAATATCTGCTGCTATAACTTGTAGAAAAATTTAATTTATTTGTGGAGTTTTTTTAGAAGTGGACAAGAATCTAATATACTAACCTATAAATAAGTTTAATTCCTAAGGAGAAATTAATAAGAATTCTCCAAAAAAAATAAAAAATCCTTTTCCTCTCCTTATATTTTTGACATCCAACATAAAACTTGTTAAACAATCATAACATGAATCCTCTCCTCATGTCCATATCTCCACAAGCCAAAAAGGTTCTAGTCCCGGTACTGTAGCATAGCCAGAGCTGCAAATGCCAAGTACTTTAGCCACAACTGATGAGGACATCCACCGGAGATTTCGACGTACTTATCATCGGAGGAATCGTAGATCGATGGCTACGATTCATAGTCTTTATTTATGATGTTTTAGTTCATTTATTTTGTTTATTTTTCAGTTTTCCACTTGTACCCCTATGAGGGATTTGTTTCATGTTGTAGCATGAGGGCATATGTCTTTTACATTTTTGTGCTTTTGGAGACCTATATATTGTGGCCTAGTCATTGTATTATTTTCTAATGATGATTATAAATGATAATTCCACTTTCTTGCTTGATCTCTTTGTGAGTTCTTGAGAGGAGAAATCCTAGGTGAGGGTGAGAGCAATACCCGTCAACATTGGTGGATTCCGAGGTTCGCGGTTCTTCGATTTCTTCTTTCTCTTACACCTTCCCACCAATCCCACTCAAACATACGCCGGCCTCCCCTTCCCGTTGTCGCATCCCCTCCTGAAACTGAAATTCCCTTTCCCACACCGTCGGCTTCCCTTGGCCGCCACACCCGCCGACCCCCCCATCCGCCCCTCTCCACAATTCCAAACCGCCGGCCCCTCCCATTGCTTCCCAAATTTGAAATTCAAAATTCAAATACCCATATATATGGCCAGCCACCTCTCCCTATTCCCCTCTCTCTCCTAATTAACTCATATCCTCCATTAAAGCTCCCTAATCCCCTCTTAAACCACCGCCCTTACCCTTTAAGGAATAATTAGACTCCCTCCTTTCCCTCTTAGAAAAAACTGAATTAATTTCAGATTTTCTAATAATCCCTTTTTCACATTCAAGCCCTAGCTCTACCCACCCCTCCCCTTTCCTCTCTTCCTCACCCGCCTACCCCCTCTCTCTGCCGCCCCTCTCCACTCCTCCCAACTGGCGGCTCCACCAAAGAACATCACAAAAATAATTTAAAGCTTATGGATGGCAGATCCGGAAGTTGATCATGGATTTGCCTACAATTCTCAAGGGGAAACTGACGTCATTCAATCACCCTTCTTCGACCCCGGATTTGGATCCGAAGGCGCCGTCGAGGAATACGTTGAGTGTATTCTCTTCCATTTGGTGGACATCATCGACGAACAACGACCTATAAGTAGGGGTGTCAATTTTTGACACGACCCAAAACACGACCCGAACCTGACCCAGAAAAATTCGGGTTCGGGTCAACCCGAAACGGGTCGGGTTCGGGTTCAACAAATCAACCCGTTTTAAAATTGGGTCGGGTTCAGGTTGACCCAGCAACCCGAAATTGACCCGAAAGTGACACGAAAACTCATATTTGACCCGAAAACCCGAGATTGACTATTTTTTGACCCGATTTTGACCCAAAAAATTTGCAATTTTAGGTCAACTTCAGGTCATTCGTGTCGGGTTGACCAGGACCCGAATCGGGTCGGGTTCGAGTCCAGAAACCTGACCCGTTTTTAAAAACGGGTCAGGTTCAGGTTGACCCGAATAGTGTCGGGTCAGTTCCGGATTCGACCCGAACCCGACCCGCTGACCGAATTGACACCCCTACCTATAGGACAGTGGAAGATCACCGGACAACCACCCGTCTCTCCAATTCTGGCCAACTTCCCGTGGATCAAATCCGCCGGCATCCTCTGTCTTTCAGTGGCATCACTCGGATTGCTGACATTCCTCCTCCGCTAACCCTACTTTCAACGAGCAATTGAGACGGAAACTCTAAGGTGAAAGCTCTCTTTGTTAAGTGATGGATTATCGTTAATCGCATAATTGTTTTACTGTTTTCTCATTATTATTTCAAATCGTCCTGTTAATCTAGCATGTAACCGCATACTTGAAGCAAGTCGATAACCACAAAAACTGAAAGTCTTAACTGAGTGAAACATTAATCCTATAGTTTCATTTCATTAATAAGTTTCTTATTAAAATCTTGCAATTCCATTGGTTATTTCACATCAACAACTGATTTTCCTTGTTCTGCCACCCCACTATTTCCTGCTGCTGGCATCTTGCTGTTGTTCGCAAATTTTCCAGTTGTCCTATCGATGTGTTGCCGCTAAAGTCTCCAGTGCTGCCCAAACACTAGGAATAACAAACAACAACTGATTGATATTTTCACAGAAAATAAAGAAAAAAAAACTGCAAGAGAAAAACTAAATTAAGACGAGGGTCTAAGAATAAAAAATACAAAGTGTTATTTTAGTTTAAGATGTACTTAGGTATGCACGAATTCTTAAAGCAATATCTACTGTAGATGCCTTCGAACTGGGAAAGGCCTGTACGCACCATTAACAATACCCAGCTTGTCATGAGTTCATCTAAATGTTTATGGGAATATAGTCAATGACATAAAAAGGGTTCAATTAGCTAATCCTTTTAGTGAATCTTCAAGGCATAATGCTGTGCCTGACTCGTTGAATGGCCACCATAGCAGAGGATGTTGCGAAGTTATTTTCCTAACATGTTTAAAAGCACTTCTTCAGTTGCTTACCACAAGAATATCAACTTTTTAAGGAGGGCCCTTCGAGATTTGATGGACACCGAGCTAAAAAGAAGTAATGTATTCATATGCAGACAAATGGGCAAAAAGAGATTGTGAACCGGATGAAGATCTGCAACCTGAGATTTGAGGAGCTTCACTTCATGGAACTTGAGATAAGATTCTTTCATATATGCAGTTTGTCTCCAGCTGAGCCATTCATGGATTAGGATCAAAAATACCTTCAATATATGTTTGGGGTACCTAATGCAAAGCCCTAATGCCCAAAATATTTCAGTTGGCCAAAAAAATAATTGTAACGGTAAGGATGTTAAGCTAATACGAGCACAACAATTCCTGGATGAAATTCTCAAGATCCACGAGAAAGTTGAGGAAATCTAAACAAGTCACAGGATACAAAAAAGATACTAAGCTCGCATGACAAGCACGGGTGATCTAGTTTGGTTACAGTTAATGTAGGAAAGATTAAAAGGAAAATGATAGAAGATCAAGTTCATTCATTACGGCCCATTCTAAATTTTACAAAAGACTGGAGATGACGAGTTTTGATTAGATTTGTCCCACATAAGGATCTACCCTGCCATCAATTCGAAGAATCTGATGCTGTTCAAATCATCACAATTGGATGAAAAAGAGAACACAAGGGTGATTACTAAAGTAGATGATTCAAGCATTAATCATAAAGTTTCATTGTAGGAGAAGCTACAATATTGCCCAGAAGACAAACTCCTCCATTTCAAACAGAACCTACAACTTTAGGATCACCTCCACAAGTCCAGAATGCTTATCATGCATGCCATGCTTAAAATAAAAATGCAGACAAAGAAAGATGAAATACTTAACAATTTCAAAATACATATCAGACATATAACAGGATCTTACCTTAAAAAGCTTTCCTGTCAGCTTGCACAACTTTACAAGAAAGTCTTCCTCATTCACCCTAACAGAAAAGTGCACATATACATGAAACACCGTCATTTTTGCTTAATACCATTCATCAAATCAAATGATTAGCTCAACAGGGTAGTTAAAAATTATTTACATAATTGTTGTAACATTAGACAAGAAGTTTTGTAATACACACAATTTGAACAAAGTTTTGAAAATTTATGAATTGAAATCCGTTCATTTATAATGCCCCAAATCTAACATTATATCAGGTATATGGAGGTACAAAAGATTTATCATGCAGTTTATATATCAGCAGATGCAATCTAGCACAACGGATCATGAGGTAGAGAGATTAACAAATTTAACATTTCTGTTTCTATACAACTTCCGATATGATTTATCTTTAAGCTTACTCCTTGATTCACAAAAATGAAAGATTCACTGTATGCGGCAAATAAGTAGTCAATACAAATCTTACAATATTTTTCGACTATTTTGCTATTTGTTCAAAAAATTCAACAATTATATATTCTTGCCAAGCTGCTCAAAGTAGACCACTAAGATATCCGAGATGGAGATCCGGCAGTCAAAAATAATTCCTACTAAGTAAAATTGTGAACACTGTCTGGACAAGATTCCATGTAAAATATCAAGAATTTTTACATAAAATGTTGGCTTGTAGGAGTTACCAACTTCTTGGAAAAATAATACTATAAAAATCTTTAATATTTTATTTATTTATTATTTGACTTATGATTTCTTTATAAAGATGTGCTTCAACTCCAAAGAAGCATCTACTGTTGGAAGTAAAACATGTCCGATTCAGATTCTGGCCATGTTTTGGAAAAAGCACCGATAACTTTTCACCAAACAAAATGAAATGGACGCAGCAACTTTAGAAAAGAGAACAGAAACCTTCGCGAATGAATGCATGCAAAAGAAAAAAATATGAAATTATGAGGAAAAAAGGAGTCCATCTCCCATTCATTAGATTATTAAAATCTGCAACGGAAATAGTTATTAGATTTATTCTTTCTGCCTAGTCCTGAGATAAAAGTTCAGGTATCAATTGGGGAATCAGATACTAAAAATTCAACCAAAATAGAAATCCTTCATGCAGTAAATAACTGTAAAAAAGAATTAATGTGCATGAATCAACGGCATTAGAGCGTGCAATAAACAAAAATAACCTACCAGTTTTCTATCTTATATGCTCGCTGCAGATGTTCCTTCTTAACACGCCGGAGAACTTCCCCAATATGCTCTGACGCATCTTCCAAGTTTTCAACACGAACCTAACCATAAAGTCAATTCATTTCAAGTTCTGGATTTATTAATTAACAATAAAATGCCAAGGTTAAAAGGATCATTAGTAACTTTAAAATGCCAAATAAAATTCTGTCATTGATTAACATCAAAGTTGGCCAAAATATAAAACCCAACGAAAGAAGTTTCTTTCTAAGAGGTTTATGTAAACCTAGTTTTTTCAACAAACAATAAGTATTCTGAATACTTCCGTTAAAAATAGTGACAGGAAAAGATAACATTTTAATGTCCAGTGAATCCTTTATACCAAACATCAGATATTTGAATCGACTAAATGTAATATGCAAATGACGTTCCATGCAACAGAATTCTGTCATATGGGAAACACAAGCTCAAATTGACTTGTTCAAAGAGAATCTGAGAAAAATACTGGAACCAATTTGCTATGGCAATGAATAATCCGTACTTAATTTAGATTCCTTATACAAATGAAGATAATCAAAATTTGCATGGCCCGATCAAAGGTTTTCTCAGTGATTCTATGTTAGTTTCAATCACAACAATTCAAAGTTTCATACATGAATGCATCATAGCCTTATGCCCAATTTAAGTTATGAAAATTTATAAAAAGGAGCATTATCAATTTAATTAAGTGGAAGAAGTATCTTTGGGGGGGGGGGGGGGGGCAACTCATGTACCAAAGTTTTGGGCTTATGTTGGTTCTCGGTTTGGGCTTGGTTGTTCGGTTTTTGTTGTTTTGTTGGGAGCTGCTATGTTTAAGCTCATTATTACTTATAGTTCTCTTCCTTTTTAGCTCATTAAGAGATGTGGATTTGGTTTTTTCCCCTTTGCCTGTGACCCTTCGGTTTCCCCCCTGGCTCCTCTTCTCGTGGCTGGTTCTTCTCCCCTGGTTCCTGTCCCATGGCTTTTCTGCTCCCCTGGCTACCTGTTCCGGTTCATCTGGCCGCCCGTTCCCGCCCCCTTGTGTCCCTTTGGCTACTGTTCCTGGCAACCTTTTGGCCTTCTGTTTTCCCTGTTTTTATTGGATCGGTTGGAGATGATGATTTTGGACTGTTTGGCTGCCCCTTTTTTCCTATAAATATGAGATATTTTGATGCATGAAAGGTTGTTGATTGTTTAGCTAAGTTCTCTAAAAAAATCTGAGGGTTTCTTCATGGAAAAGCTTGAGAACTTGTTCCATTTCTCTCTTCCTCTCTTCAAATTCGTCTTGGGCTTCTTATCTCTTTGTTCTCTCTGCAAGTTCCACTCCACTTGTATCTTTTTTCTTGAGCTATTGGAGGTGTTGGTTGGCTGATTTGGTAGCATTTGCCAGATGAGGTCTGGTGGACGTTGGCCCAAGTAGCTGTGATGGACCCTTGGTTTGCATGCCCTTAAGCACATCTTGTATATTAACTACTATTTCGATTGCATGTGAGGTGACCGCTAGTCGGTTGTTCCGAGGGTGGTAGTTTTTATTTTTTAATTTAGTTTTCGTTTGTTTGGCTTTTGTTTATTTCGACGTTTGTTTGATGTTGACATTCTATGTTTTGAATCGAGAAATGTTCTACTTGTCCTGATGTTTGCATTCTAAGTTTTGAATTGAGAAAACTAGGAATTGTGAACAATTGTGATGGAAACTTTCATCATCAAAACAGATGATGGTAAACTAGACGTCTATCTTCACTAATCTGCACTGGCAGGATTAAGCAAAATTAATGATTTATTAGTTTCAATCAAAGAAATGTTTGTGTACTATTCAAAACAATAGTATAATAATTCATGCCAAAGAAAACAGATGAACAAAAAAAAAATTCTGGAAAGGAAAACTTTCATACCACACCCTTCAGGACAATATCAGTTTCAGAGTCTTTGTTGTGATATACAACTCCAGGACAATCGATCAAAAAAATCCTCTTAGTAAGTGTAATGTACTGCCACACTTTTGTTTCTCCTGGAATGGGAGCCACTTTGCAAACCTTTAACAGAAGACAACAACAACAATAACAACAACAGAAGACACATGAACAAAATTAGCAGACGAGCCAATTCAGTAAAATGTGCAGGCAAATTTGGACAAATTTGGTACTACAATTTATTTAAACAAATTCTTACATTCTTTGTACGTAATGTGTTGATAACGGATGACTTCCCAACATTAGGATAGCCAACAAATCCAACAGAAATGGCCTGCTTATCACTCTTCAACCGAGCAAACTGTCGCAGCACTGAAAGAAGAGATCCCTGGTGGTAAACGGCAACAACATGCAATAAGCACAAAAAAAAAGTAATTGAGAAATGAAATAGACGAACGCAATGCCATACCTTTCCAAAAGATTTGTTTATGCTTGCATGGAATGCCAAAGTAGGATATTCCTTGGACAATGCCCGCAGCCATCCTTTTGTGGCCCACGCAGGAATCAAGTCACACTAAAAATAAACAAATAAACATTAGCTAAAGAATTCCTTTTCCACAAACAAATTGTAAAGAAGGAGAGATCCGATCCAAGTCCGTAAACTCTTTGATACAAATTTGTAAAAATGGCAAACCTTGTTAAGCAAAAAAACCATGTGTTTGTGTTTGCAATTCTCCTTCAGGTGCTTCTCCAAATGACGACATCTTGTGCCAAGTGGATCCCGTGCATCCAACACCTATTTAACAGAACAAACCACATAATAAATAGTATGACAAAAGTCATATCTATTAGGGTCCTCATTTGGTTTAGCACTTTAGCTTTCATCTGCTTAGTGAGAGGATGAGTTGCATGAAGTGCAGACCATTTGAATGGAGAAGTCAGGCAATATTTCCTACAAGTTGTTTTAGAAAAGCTAATTTATGGCCAATAAAGCAACTTTTAGAAAGCTCCTACACAAAAGGACGAAAAGGATATATTAAGTCAAACAAATCCCAGCTAATGTCTTTGTCATGTTATTAAGTCTTAAGAAGCTGACAAAGCACTAAGGCCAAAAATCATTTATTGTCTTCAGCCAAAGTAACGGTTAAATGCTCGCTTCTTTCAACTAGGTTCCCAAGGCAAGGGCTGAATGCAAATCCTTTTAAATAGGTGCCCATTTCCAAAAATAACAATGTAATGGGGCATCTTTGTCTACTTTGAACGCATTGTCAACATATTCACCAATGATAGGAATGGAATTTTTGCTCGCTAGAAACACCCAAATTTTGATTCAATTCAAAACCAATTTGAAACGATTTGAGTTGAATTCCAGATCAATTTTTAAACTCAAGCAAATTTTGAGTCAATATCAAAAAAAGAAAAGAAATTAGCATGACTAGATACATTCTAAAATCTTTTAAGTGCCTGTCTCAAATATCTCACAAGGACCAACAAACATGGAGAAATAAAGACCCTAAAGAATCTAATTATTCAACAGAATTAAAAGAAATGGCAACTCACCTGGACAACTACGTCTGAAGAATCAACAACTTTGTAGAGTTCACCCCAAATGCGTTTACTCTGACCCTTCTCAAACATTGAATGCCTCACCAAGTCTCTGAAACCATCCTCTTCATTCTCTACTCCAGATGGTATGGCTGAAGTTTTCTTCTCAAAGGCATCTATACATGAAAACCACATGAGACACATAAAAGGATAAAACAAAAAATAGTATATCAAGGTGTACAAAATGGATCTGTTGTGGAAGGCTGGAAGCAATGCCAATCTATATCAACAAAATAGTTCCTCAGTTTAGTTGAATACTAGGGATGAAAAATATTACAGTATAACCAATCCCATACTGCATAGATCATATTGAAACTGAAGAGAATACTTACAACTGACAGCTATTAAGAAAGTAACTTAGCTTTTCCAAAACAAAATTAGCAAGATCAGACTGCCAATCTTGGATGTTTTATCAATTTGAAGCAGAAAAAATCTAAAGACTATTTTCTAATTCAAATACAGGTGCATAAACAACAAAAATACAGTTTCCTACTTTAAGATATGAATCCCGAACATTTTCAGTTTAATTTGAAGTACAATTGTTAACCAAAGGGAATGCTCAATCAAATGTATCCTTTAGGAAAGAACGTCACAGACCTAGTATGTACCTTGGGATCCATCAGCCTTCTTAATCAATGATTCATAGTCAGCTGCTAAAAGCCTTGGACGTTTTCGTTTCCTCTTGGGTCCAAAAGCATCCTCAAAAGGCTCTGTATCCAGAAGATGAGCTTTTGCTTGCTGTGATTATAGAAATCCAAAACATAAGAATAAAATAACGGTTTTTAAAGTTCTATATCTAAATGTACTTTTTTGATTGGGAATCCAAAAGAACCACAAATATAAAGTATACAAATTAAAAAAATTAATATAAAATATTAAGGGCAGGAAACAACTCTTAATTTTTTCACTAATTCTCAAAATTTTCAATTAATCCCTAAGGATCACATAGCCTTCCTAAGCATGCCCCATAACAATAATTAAATTCATTCTCAGCAGAGCGTGCAGGAGATCAAACTCAGCCAGAGACTGCATGATTCAAACAATTGGACTAACCAAAGAGCTACTTCAAGCATACAATAGAATAGAAAAATTTAAATGGCCAAGTAAAATATATGTGATGGCATTAAATAGACAACAAAATTGGCAATTAAAAAAATGAACTTGAACTTATAAGCAATGGTGTGAGAGAAACAATGTAAAATCATACCTTTTGATGATCATTAAGAAGAGAAAGTGGCAGCTTCCTCTCCTTTAAAATGACATTATAATTGCTTGATAACCGATTTTGAAGCTCCTCACGAAAGAATTCAAGTTCCTTCTGATTTACAACTCGAGTGTTACCTAAAATCACAAGTCATATTAGCCTCTAAACACCAAAAACTGAACAAACTCACACAATGACAACTGAAATACAACAATAAAATAATCGTGTGCACACGTTAAACCTGCTTTACTAGCATTTCAGTCATAAAAGTAAACAAGTGTGCTAGAACTATAGTTTTAAGCATTGATGTTTCTGTCCCTATTCAGAAATTAATTTGTCACTGTAATAAAATTAGTTCAACCAGAGTGATGTGGCTTGTCATTTAAAAATTAGTAACAAGCAAGCATATCCAAGCTCTAAGTTATAAAACACTCAGTATGCATAATAGAAGTGTAAATCTTAAATGCAATGTACTTCTTTAGATATTTAAGTTATGTATCATACAAATGAAAATTGCATTTTAACAATAATACACTCGGAAGAAAAAAAAAACAAGCTGTAACACAGTTACCATAAAATCAGGGCATAGTTATCCGCTTCAGGCACATCTTTTAAAGTGTTAGAAGGACACGAATCAAAATATTTTCCTGACTCCGTCAAGTATGTACAGATCAGGAACGCAATATTCAACGGTTGGAGAAAAAATTCAGTTTTGGACGAATTGGGACCCCAATTTATAAGCCCTTTAGTCCACGAGAAGGTCGAAGAAAAATCAACATGGAGACCAAAAGTGCATGTTAAGAAACATGTTCACATCACTGGAACGCTTATAACCTAAATATCAACTAATAAGAAAAAGGGGAAACAGAGGCTTACCGAACCAGCGGCGGTCAGGCTCGATGCGTGTGTTTGGCAGATCCTTCGATTGTAACTCATGCTTGAGGATCTTTCCCTTACAGTCCCGCTTGGGGCGGGTGTTGTACATCTTGAGCCTTCGGACAGTGCCAGCAGACCTAGTTCCTTTGTCTGATGCGCCATTGCTGCGGTTAACGTCAAGCGAATGCTTTGGCTTACCCGAGACATTAACCGCCCTCTCCTTCTTCTTCGCCATCCCAAGCTCAAATAAAATTATTGCAATTTCAAAGGAATTCAATCGGTAGAGAAGAAGCGGAGCTCTTTAATTTGCCTTATAGGGGCTGTTTGGCAACAGGATTTGTACAGGATTTGAGCAGGATTTAAATAAATCCTGCTAAACGGGATTTGAGCGCCCCGTAAATCTCACGGCGTAATAAATCCTCCGTTTCCTCTTTTTGCCGTAAAAATCCCGGATTTACTAAAGCCTCTAGTTCGGCGGATTCACGGATTTTGGCCGAAGAAGCTCGCGAAAGGGAGAAAGTTAACTTCAGAGCCAGCGAGCTCCCGTTGTAGCTTCCGATCAAAATGACGAAACGTCCGATCCGACAGGAAGGGAAAGTCGTCGAAGGAGCGAAGTCGAACAGGAACGACGGAGCCGAAGAAGCTACTCGTGCAATCTCTACACCTCCTGCGAAGCAACGAAGCCGAACAGCAACGACGAAATGAGGATGAAGGGCAAACCCTAGACGCCTATTATTTTTTATTTTTTAACTTAATGAATATAATTTAAAATATTAAAAAGTAAGTAAATTAATTAATCAATATTATAATTAGTGCATAAATTAATTATATAATTTAATTTAATTGAATAATTAGTCATATAATTAGTAATTAAATATTAAAATAATTACCTTAATTAACATAAATTAAAAAATATATAATTAATAGTGTAAAAATAATTAATGAATAGTAGAATTCTTAAAGTGATTAATGAGATAATTAATAATATAAGTTAAAAATAAAACCAACAAAATAATATTTAAGCAAACAATTTCTTGAATTTAAATGGATTTTAACAACTATTTTATCAAAGAGTTTTTTTTATTGGACATTCTTGGGATTTATTAAATCCTCAATTTACATGATTTGTTAAATCTTACAAAAGTTAAATCCTACTTGAGCCCCATAACTTAGATTCGAAAGAGCAAGAAAATACGAATGGGTCCAAAATATCAAACCCTATAACTCAACGACATAGGTAAATAAAATGAATGGATAAAAAGAAATAAAATTAAAAAAACAAAATAAAATGAATAGATGAGATCCACAAAGGGCAATAGATTTTTTTAATAATCTAATTTAATTTAATTGAATAATTGATAGTATAATTATCATTAAATTAGTTTAATTAATATTTGTAATTTATTGGTTATTATAGCTATTAGTAGTATGATTTTCATTAGATTAGGTTAATCTTTAACTAATGAATTAAATCATTAGTACAAGTAATAGTGAAATAATTTATAAGAACTAATCAATATTAGTTTGTAATGTGCTCTTTATTGATTTTTCAGTAATATTGTATGCAATTATCTTGAAATTATAATTATCATATTCACATTTAAATACCTAATTGTCATAAATACTGAAAAAAGTTACCAAACAATTTCTAAAAATTTAATAAAATTTAACATTTATCATACCAAATACTTTTCAGGATTTAATACCCTTAGAAATTTCTAAATCCAAAGTTGCCTGATTTATTAAATGTTACTAAAGTTAAATCCCACTTATTAGCATAAAGCCCCTCAAAGCTCTCCTTCATGCGAAGCAGGAGAAGCAACGAAGAAAGAACGAGGAAAATACACTAGACGGGCCTAATTCATGTGGGTCACAGAACCAACACATTGGATAATTATTTTATATTTCAGTAGTTTAACATTTTATTAATTAGTATTTAATTATTATATATTAATATTGACCAATAATAATATATTTATAATATTATTTCATCATATAAATTAGATATAAATACATTAATTTTAATAACTAATATTAATAAATTGTAAATTTTAACAAATAATTTGATATTAATAAAATTTTATTTAAATTAATCGACTTCAAGCCTAAAGTAAATAGATAAATAATTCATAAAAATTTTTAATTGGTGTCGACTTTTATCATGTCAAACAAGTTTCAAAATTTCACTAAGGATTTAGTAAATTCAAAATCAAATCATCCAAATCAATCAAATACGCACCCCTGACATTGCTTGCCATATGATGACCAACTCAACATTTCATGAGCTAAATATGATCACATTTAATTTGGTACATCTTTTTTTATGCTTTCAAATCAACTTTCTATTATAAAAATTTTCTTGAATTAAAAAATTTTGCAATGAAAAGCAATAAAAAATTATCCCAAACGGAATCTTAGTTTGAGTCGGTTCGATCACATTGATTTGAATAGGGATAATTGATTTGAAGAGGAATGATCAGCATCAAGAAGAGTTGATCAAAGTTTTATCAAGATCATTGAGCCCCATTTTTGCCTAATTTGAATTATTTGACACTGGATAGATTCTTAACACCCTTAGCAACTCATTCACATCATGGGCAGAGTGTTCACTAGTTTAAGATTACACCAGGGCATACAAAATTGTAACAATTCAGGCTTCGTTTGGGACGACTTTCTCGCAACTTTAATTTTTTACTAAAAAGCTGCTTTTAGAAGTAAAAAAACCGTCCAAACAAAACCTCAATCAATAAGTTGCAAGCTAGTTGGGCTAGACTACACACTAATCAACAGTCATGCACTTCTATTATTTGTAGATATAAGATCCTACAAACTTAAAATTGAATTATAAAATAAAGGGTATAATTGATCACACAGTGTACACATTAATCTTATGAAAGAAGACTACAAACACTAATCTCTTTTGCTAATTCTCCACTAAACAACAATTTCTCAATAGGTGAAACTGAATACTACAATAAAACTACAATGGCAGCAATGTAGAAAGAAAAAATCGCCATGGTATCGACCAGTTTGGCACTCATAACAATTTGATTTATCAGAAGATCATCCCTTACATGAAAATTGGGTTCTGATTATCAATAAATTATAAAATTCAAATCTACCATGGTGTTCACACTATCTGGAAGGCATACTCCATCAGTTGAAAGCAATTCTTCATAAGTATAAAATTGTTGAGGCAAAATAACTGGAAAAAAAGAAGTAGATAGTGCAAAAGTCAGTCCATATTGACAATCAAATGAGAAGTTGTAACAGTGATTGGCTAATAATACCTTTAATCCTCCTCCATAGGAACATCTGGAATGTCCCATCTATCTTCCTTAATTGGCTTATTTATAACAGAGATAAGCGGGGGTAAAGCAAGTTAAGGAAATGGAAGATGAACTTGAATAGAACACAAGTACAAAAATATTCGCATTGCCTAGTAAGAATTTTTCTCTGAGACAATTTTCCACCATAGTTGGTTATGATTTATATGATTTGGCAGTAAAGGTTTTCAATAAATAATCCTCTAAGATTTTCATGAATTCCAATTTTGGGCTATTAAAAATTATTGATATAGTCGCATGCTCATTCTTTTACTATATACACAAAAAGTAGCAGATATATACAAGAAGAAATTCAAAAAATGCCTTGACACGCTATAAAAAGGATATCTTGTAATGTTATATCCTCCTTTTCACCTCTGTGTCGGCTATTTTTCAGTTCCCTACGGATTTCAGGTGTAACCTAGGCAGAAAATAAGTCAAAACATTGTCATATACTTGTATTCTTGGCGAGGCCTAAACAAGCAATCTGATTAGAGCAAGAAACGAAACTAATACCAAATAATGTTTTTGCTGATGCATTAAGCGGTCCAGATTATTCTTGTCTGCTTTTGTTAACTCATTTTTGTACCTAAAAAATTTATCAGCTTAATTTATTAACTGCAACTGGAAAAATATAAGAATCAACAAATAAATGGAAGTAATGAAGTGAAGTCAAACATTCTTGTTCTAACAATGCGTACAAAGTAACGTTTGAACAAAAACTTCATTATCAAACAAGAAGACACTTGAAATGGTTATTTCAACATTGACCAGTTATCTGCAAATATATGCCGTTCTAATAAGTTTTCCATAGTTGTGTAAAAAGAACCTTAACCATTTTTAAGTATCATTAGTGCTCAGTAGTAGAAAACAAAAACAAAATAAGAATTACATTATATTATTGAAATCTGGCAATTAAATTACTTTAGAATAATATATAATCTCAAAGAAGCTACCATGTAACATTCCTCCACTAACAGTTGATGTATCTAACCTTTGTACAAAAGCAAGAAGTGTTTGGTGCCATATTACAGGCATAGCTCTTTTGTCTTCGAGGAATCTCATAAAATGTGCAACTAGAGCATCAAGTACCCGATATGGCAGCGCATATTTCTTCTCAATCAGTAGCTTTATGAAAAAGCTGCAGCATATAAAGTGAATTGTAAAAATAGGATGTTGTTAAATGTTGGTAAAAGATGCAAGATTCAGTAAAAAAAATTTGGCAAAAGAAAAATTAAAAATTTATTAAAACTACTATTTATAGTATATTTAAAAAATATTGCCATTAATTATGATATGAACTACTTATGCATCTAGCTCTTATAGAAGAACAAAAAAAAATAGTGACTAAGATCATCATATACAAAGTTAAGTAGTTTTCGAGATGAGCTTCCAAGCATTCCGATCTTCCTTTTCAATCAAAGTTTGCTAATGCAATCTTTCAAACTACATCAACAAATTTATTTTGAACCCAACATGCATGGATGACCTCAAAATTTAGCAATTCGATACAATCTCTGATTTGCTGAATAGTGAAGCTTTCATGAATTCTTCAAGCTAACTATTAAGAAAATTAAGGGCGGTAGAAGAAAATTCCACTTTATGCATGAAATTGAGGGAAAAATAGGTTTAAGAATAGAAAAAAGTGCATACCTAGTTGTCCCATAGTAATCCATGCCAGCTATTGTCATCAATGCTACACTGTTAGCTTACAAAAATAAATTAATTAGACAGCTAAGAGTTAAGTTTGAAAACAGGGATTCCGCCATAGCAGACAAACAAATTTCATATGTCATACCTAGAATGAAGTGGTGGTATAGATACTTTTTGAATGATACTTCCAATAATGTGCGCTTCTATAAGGGTACATGTCTGTGACTGCATGCAGTTTGAAAATGAAGATTGTCAAAATATAGTAAGCAAATGCAAAATAAAAATGGATCTGCCAAAAGTTTATCACTTGAATTACTGGAAGTGTTCAATAATCGAGCTTTAATTGGATCATTGTGTGAGCAATCAAAACAGAACAAACTAAGAGGATAACATGCTGATCAAAGAGTAGGAAAGCTGAAAAAAAAAAAAAAAGCAACAGATATATGAAACTTTTAAACATGAAACATTACTCTACTGGAGGAACTAACTTCAAATTCAAATGTGATGGAATAATTATATGGAGGAACTGCTATTTTCAAATTCAATATTCTGAAATAATCCTCCATAACTAGGGACTAAATATTATTTTGCATACCTGGCATAAGGGAAATAAAATTCCCTTAAAAAACCCAGCCGGCTTGTAGAGACTCTTTTTTACTGCTTCATAAATAGCACGATGAAGCCGTTTATTCTTTTGTATTTCTTCTCTAACACGAGGAAGTAGCACAAGCTTGTAAAACCGTTGAGCCCTGCTGGGGTTGAACCTTGATGCAAATATTCTTGTTGCTTGATACAAAGCATTTGGAGACCATTTCTCTGGCTCAGTTATATAAAGAACTTCTTCCCAACGCTCCATAATTGCAATGCGTTGAAGTGCCTTTGGTACTTTGCCACTTGTGTACCTACTGAGCACGTTTCCGACTCTACAATACAGTAAATATTGTATTTATTTAAAAGCCATATATACCTAAATTAAAAATCGAAAGTTGAATAGGCAGAAGGGGAGGGATCTGGGATGAGGCAACATGGAATAGAAAAGAGAGTGAAGATGGGGGGAGTGATAGAGAGAATACCTCTTGTATACGTCTATGATACCATCATCAAACTTCGGCATAGGTCGTTCTTCTGAAATGAAATTGGGCAAACTGATTATTAGCTACAAATACAAAAAAAAAGCTTTCCAGTAACTTGACATCTTTAACAAAATAAATGTTCATTTATATATTGATTATAATAAATCACATAAGACATGATATGAATTGTAAGATATCTATTATGCTATAAATAACTTAAAATAGATAGACAATCATAGTAATGAGTTTATCAAAAAAGCTGATCAACCAGATCTACAAAGTTCTGCATTTTTCTAGTGACTCGATTAGTTTGGCGGAGGAAAAATGCATGCGAAAAAAACTCAATTAAATACTACTTTGCAGGATCTGAAGAATTCATCAAAAACTATATGATATAACCAATTTTTAACTCTACTAGATTTGTGACTTGACTTGTTAGATGAAGAAATATAAAGCAGAGAAAATACATATTGACTGGAAAAATAAGAAACTATGAGAAATAAATATACAAAAAATCCCCATTATGCCTTTTAGTGACTTGCTCATCAACCAATACACTACATAATCCATAAAACCATTTTGGACAATCTAATCTATTAAGATGACCAAAGCTTCTTATAAAAAAAGACATCTATGCTATTTGCAACTCACTAACAATCCTGCGCAATAGTGAGCGGTAAACCACTTTTGAATCACATAGAGATGCATAAAAAACTCAAGGAATATCTAGTATTTTGAAATATGATATCACTATGTATAAAGGTAAACAAAATGTTTTATACACATGAAAGATTTAATGCGAGAACTTACACAAAGAAACCTCTATTTAGATTATCCTTTTTGTATAAAAATTAGCCAAATGACAATAAGCTAAGGCCCGCAAGGGATATTGGGTGAAAATCAAAGAAGTGAGGAGATTGCTTAAATGAGATTCTAAAGAAGTAGAAAATACAAGTTATGGAAGTATAGGCTAACCAAATATCTTTGTATACTTTTTTTATCATAATGTCCTTTGATCTCTTTATTCTTGATCTTTCTCCTTTCTTGGCTTGCTCCCTCCTTTCACATCACTTGATGACGCATTCCTTACCTCATCTTGATTGCTCCAAAACCACCCTTCCTCCTTGCACAGTTTAGCATAGAGAGATTAAAGAGAGGGGGGTGTTTTAGAGATACAGATTGTGAGGCTCAATTTTGAGCAATTTTGAGAGATAAGCGGAGGCTTAGCCAAAATCTTCCAAGTGAAGAGACTCCTTTGATAGACTAGGGGTAAAAAGAGGGAGTGTACTTCATGCACCAATTATACTTTAGGTTTCAATTTGGACTTGATTGAAACTTGGATCAAAGTGATATATATATATTGCTTTTTCTATCATGAGATCTTCAAAGGCGTCATTAAACAATTTAATGGTTAAGATACAAACTCATGTGATAATATAAATAAAGTTGTATCATTGAGGGAAATGAAACAAGCTTTCAATTTCAAAAATGTATATATATAATGCGATAATACAAATCAACCACATAAATATCTTTGAAGAAAACCATATAAAAAGAAATACAGCAAAAGCAGCAGGAAAAAAAAGAATAGAAATTAACCAGACGAAGCCTGCAAATCCTTTTCCTTAATTTTCTTGATAATGATATCCGTCAGTGTGAGCTGTGGACCTGCATCACTTCCAAAGAAAACTGCCAAAGCCGCTTCATCTTCTTCATTGATCTCTTCCTGTAAAAAAATTTCCAATAAATTAAATCAATTGACAAACTATGACAATGTAGAAAGTGCTACTGGAACTTACAATGCCCAAATCGTGTGAACTTAAGGTTTCCAAGAACCCATCAAAATCGTAACCTTCATCGTCACTGTTCTCCTCGGCCACTCTTGAAAATGGTGTAATGTTCAGCTCTGCCTCTTCTTCTTCCTGAAGAATTTCTTTCTGCTGATTGAGAGACTCTTTAAGGATCTTGGAGCTGAGATCGGAGGATATCAACTGTGTCCAGCGGTTACAAAAAGTTAAGACTACTTGTTTTGTAGAACGAGAAGAAGGAAATGGAGAAAGAAAAATACAGAATTGTGAAAGATTGCCTTATCTCCCTTCTGGTGCTGCTTAGAATGTCGAGCAATCTTCTTCGATGAGACGGAGTCGTCATCCGCGTCAAGAGGTATTTGGTGTTGTAGCTTCTGCTGCGGCGTAGATTGCTGCTTCCGCTTCTTCCCAACCATGGCAAAAATGAGCACGACCTAGGATATGTTTAGATGCCGGATTTGAGCAGGATTTAGCCTGCCAAACAGCAAAAATGATAACTTTAAGGGGCTGTTTGGTATCGGATTTACAGCGGAATTTAAGTTGGATTTACGCTAATTTCATTGCAAAGGAGGATGGTGTCATTGCGGGGATTGCCCTTGCGGAGATTATCTTTGATCAGGTGGAACCTTTATTGAAGGTTGAGTGGTCTGTGAGGGATGGTAACTACATTAATAAAGGCATGCAATTTAGGAAAGTATGCTGATGTGCACACAATATTGTTGTTGCCGAGAGGGTTCTACTGAACTTCATGCAGAGAATGAGTGGAATAGCAACATTCACTAAGGTCATGGCTGATGCTGCATATCCTGCATGCATTTTAGAGAAAATAAAAACTGCACCAGGTCTACCCTTGGTGGATAAGTAGGCGGTACTAATAGGCGGAGGAAAAAACCATAGAATGGGCTTGTTTGACATGGTGATAACAACAACAACATCAAGCCTTTATCCCACTAGGTGGGGTCGGCTACATGAATCCTTTTTCTCCATTGTGTCTTATTAAAAGTCAAATTCTCATTTAAATCTAATAAAGAAAGGTCATTCCTAATATTTTCTAACCAAGTCTTTTTAGGTTTTCCCCTACCTTTCTTAACATAAGTCAAATCTAATACCTCTACTCTCCTAACCGGGTCATTAAAAGGCCGCCGTTTTATGTGACCAAACCATCTAAGGCGACTCTCTCTAATCTTATCTTCTACTGGAGCTACTCCAACCTTTTCACGTATATGCTCATTTCGTATCCTATCTCTAAGGGTAAAGCCACTCATCTTTAATTTGCAACACCTCCAGCTATTGATACATGATTATCTTTAATCATCACCATGTCAAACAATTTCTTAATAACTCATGTCATTAAGAAATTGTTTGACATGGTGATGATTAAAGATAATCATGTATCAATAGCTGGAGGTGTTGCAAATGCTTTGAAATACGTTATACATGGATTCATTCTTGGAAAAAAAGAATCTTAAGATGCCTGTTGAGGTTGAAACAAGGACAATGGAAGAAGTTAAAGAGGTACTAAACTATGCAAGCCAAACCAGGTGCTCATTAACTCGAATAATGCTGGACAATATGGTGATTCCCCTGCCTGATGGGGATGTTGATGTAACCATGCTTAAATAGGCCGTTGAAATGATTGATGGAAGATTTGAGACTGAGGCTCCTGGAAATGTTTCGCTTGAAACTGTGAAGAAAATTGGAGAAACTGGTGTCACCTACATGTCTAACGGGGCATTGACACATTCAATGAAGGCGCTTGACATTTCTCTCAAGACTGATACTGATCTCGCCCACCATGTAGCAAGGCGTACAAATCGAGCATGATCATCATTGCAGGGAATTATGACTAAAACCTTCTTTCAAGCTGTATTTTATATGCTCGTCATTTTTTATAATCCACGACCTCAGGATAGAAAAATGGATGCTTACTAGCTAATGCCAAAATATAATTTTATGGCAATTGTCATTTAACAGAATAAGGGACAGAAAAAAAAAACATTTTCACATTTATTATCAAAAGAGAGTTCAATTTTGTGAAGATTAAAGAAAAAAAATGGATTTGTAAATCCAGCCAAACGGTTTTTGTGCGAGCGTTAAATCCCGGCGATGGCTAAATCCCGGATTTAAGGATTTACGGCTTAAATCCCGGATTTGATAAATCCCTAGGTTCGGCGGATTTATGGGATTTGGCCGAAAGAAGCGCGCGAAAGGTAGAAAGTTACCTTCACAGCCAGCGAGCTTCCGTTGTTGCTTCCAATCAAAATGTCGTAACTTCCGATCCGAAAAAAAGGGATAATCGTCGAAGGAGCGAAGTCGAACAGCCACGAAGGAGCCGAAGAAGCGACGCGTGCAAGCTCTATACCTCCTGCCAAGCAACGAAGCCGATCAGCAACGACGAAAAGAGAAGATGACAGGAAAACCCTAAACGCCTCTAAGTTATTATATTGATTAACCTAATCAATATAATTTAAAATATTAATAATTAAGTAAGTTAATT